GGTGGTGGTGGTGGTGGTGGTGGTGGTGGTGGTGGTGGTGGTGGGCTAGGCTAATCCTCCTCTTAGCTCAGATTCTAACTAGGACACTTATTTCAAAACTGGAAACGGTTTGAGTGAACCTGTCAAAGTACAGACTGCTGATCGGTGAGATGCAAATTGGATAGGAGTTGTGTTATGCCAAGACGCATATTTGCTAACTCGTAGGAAATTATAGAGCCTTGCAGTTAGCCGTGACCTTGTACTAGGATTTTACTAATGCGGAGGTCGCAAGACTCCTAAATTGGCAAAATTTTCACTAACGGCGATGGTGACCTGAGCGTGCACTCGATTAGTTTCATCGCTGTTGGGAAGCAAGTGTTTTATGAACGCGGATTCGCCAAGTCCTCAGAACGGTGGCGAAGGGTCATTGGCTGAAATGGGCCCTGTTTTGTGGTGGATTTATGTTTTAAACCACATTACTTTTGTAGTAGCCAGTGTCTACCACTACCCTACAACCCTCTAGTAGTTAACAGCCCGAAACAACCCGAGAATGGAGTGAAGAGAGACGACAGAGGACACGACCGCTTAGTAGCATCACGCCAGCCAAGTGTGTCTTAGTTTTCGCAAGAGTTAACGGATGACAGGCATCCGATATGGTAACCAATGTCACCGTCAGGTCGGTAACCAGGGTTCACTCAGGCGCGATCGCTGTTAAACCGCTTCACTTTCTTGCGGTCCTGACTCCCACCCTGTCTATTTACGTCATTTGTTAACGCAGGCACCACATTTGTGGCTTTAGAGCTCCTTGTGGCTTCACCATTAGCGTATTCCCACGTTGGCCACTGTCTGTGAGTCAGTCTCAGAGGCTGTGGGGCAAAATTTCGCCCTGCCACTTATCTGGAGATGACCTGTCGGTAGAACTCGTCTCTGACCAGAACGAATTGGATGTTTAACGTCCCTAGTTAGAATTGTGAAATGCAGAATATGGTTGCAGAGGATGGAGGGTACAGCATGATATGAGCCACATCGTTCGAAATAACATCACTAAAGGATGCGCCGATGTTGCACTGGAAAATCGAGGCGTACGAGTCCAATGAATGACTTGCTCCCGTGGTTCATTCCGCCAATGACCAGATGTTGCGGTTTTTGTAGCCTATTTCCCTACTGCACAGGCATTTTGCCGAATATTCAATGATAAATGATGTTCTTAAGACAAAAGGTATTTCAATAGTCGGAAATTACGGGGGAAAACCTTTAACGACTACTCGGCCAATTGTGGATTGGATAGCACCGGAGCAATTTATACTCAATCAGTGAGGAATAACTGATACAGGTAAACTGGTATAGCGTTTTAGAATACTTCAACAAGCCATGACCCTCCAACAGGAACTGTCCATCAGAGTCCACCATCGGGGGTTGGCCGCTTCTCATCAATCCGTGTCTCTGATTGGCTACTCATAAGCCATTCAAGCACACAGATACGGAGGGCTTGTAGAGATCATGACGTGATTCAATATGGCTGCGCCTTATACCTGTAAAATTCTGGCTTTACAGCTCGTTATACGGTGCCTCTTATCTGTTCTTGTCTCTGGTTAGTTGCTGATATTCCTCGTAGGTCATTCACAAAAACAAAGACAGACGATTGGCGCAGCCAAATTTATCCGTACTCCATGTTGGTACCTCAAACCGACACTATAGCTTCATCACTGATTTTCAGCCTTACCCAAATTGGAGAGTTTCGATTAATAAAATATTTTTCTATGACCGTTTAAAAGATCATGGGGTCTATGCAGAACCAACGGAGTAGTGGCGATACAGTAATTCTCGTGTGGCTTCCAAGCACAAAATTTCAAGCATTGCTCAACTGCTAACGCATGGAAGGTCTGTGTTTTCAGTGATTCAAACGACTTTAAACGGGGAAAAGATCACGACCATCCACCACAAAGGTTCACCACGGTATAAACAGGCAGTCTGCATGAGAAGAACTCTCAAAATGTAGAGAGGAGGCGTACGGTGGCCATCAACCTGCCTCGATTCTTCAAAATGACAAAATCGTTCTAAAACGATTCAAACATACTTAATGATTGCCCAGCGCTCCCCCAACTACCTTCATTTTGGCTACAACTAACCGAGTTTACTTCTCACTGGGAAAAAAAGTAACAGAGTCTAATGAAAAATAATCCAAAATCAGTCACTGAAATCTCAACAAACGCAAAACTAAACCAGACAAAATCACTCATCAGCATCTCTGGCGAATTTCTCCTGCGTCAGCACTGTGCAATTCCAGCTTGCGTCTTCGCGGATACCTAAGGAATTGAGAAGAGCGATGAGGTGGTTTGTGCACTCCGTATTCTCTGATTCTCCCTGCGAGATCTCGAAGTTCACTCCCAACACCGGTCCCCACTTCGGACTCCACGACCTGATCCGGTGGACCAGCAGATCCACTGAAATCACCCTCAGATCACCAACAAAATTGCAAAACGTCACCATTCGTCCAAGCCAACAACAAACGCTCGGCTGTTCCACGAATGCGCAGATGAAGAGATCTGGATTGGTGATGCCTTCGTTGGCATTGCACGTGGAAATCTGCGACCACAGTTTCATGGGAGCGTCGTCAATGGAAATTCCCTGATGAGAGAGCACTCGTTTAAGTGTAAGAGTTTCAAATAAACCGGGTAGAGAGTGAAGTCGGACAGAGTGTTTGATGACGACGATCAACTGTGCCGCTGGATGTTTGTCTTCGGCGTTTTGTGAACCAAGACTAAAGGAGAGTGCCAATTGACCGTATCCATCCGTCGAGTCTATTGCTTCATGGTACTTCAGCATCTCAATTCCAGGTTTGACGAAAACCGTGCGAACATTCGCCTCCACAAGTTGATTTACGTCCACATTGAATCGGGCCATCATGTCTTTCGGTCCGTAGACTTCAAAGAACTTGATAAACGGTTGGGAGGTGGACACATTGTGAAATCCAAGGTGACTGTAGATGGCTTCCCTGACTCCGTTTTTTTGGAAAAACAGCTTCACGTACTTAGCAGACACTCGTCTGGCCTCAGTCTTCACCACTTCCATTAGACGTCGTCCTTGTCCCTTTCCGCGAAATCCTTCGCAGATATAAAGCTGGTCCACATAAATGCCACATCCCCCAAAGTTTAAATCCATGTCCTCGGTGAAAGCAATGTACCCAATCACCTCTTCCTCGGTGCCATTGTTCACGGTGAGAACTCGAAACTGGACAAAACAGTCACGATGAAGATCCCGAAAGGTTTCCAGAGTTAAACGAGTATCCTGTCCCTGGTTCTGATGCTCAGAAAAGAGTTTTCGTGTCTGTTCATAGATTTTGTCACAATCGTCGTCACATGAAGAGCGAATAGAAAACATCACTTGGACTAACTGCTGGTGCTAAAAACTACATATGTGAAGTATTCGCTGTTAAACTAAAACCGAGTGACATGATTCACTCTTAGTACCAATTGTGAACTCGTGGCCACGCCGCGAAGAGGCGCCACCATGCGAGCCCTCAAGTGAAACCTATTGACCCTCTGGAACACGTGCCACGTGACCCTTGATTGATTGGTAAAGAACAGCGTTAAGCTCCATTTCGTGTGTTGGAAACTTCCCACGCGATAATTTGACCGTATCCTTGTATCGTCTTTTTTGAAACCTTGATTAATGTCTCTGAAATATTGCCAGGTAAGTTACTTGAGAGCAATACAGACTACTGAAATCCAGCTGATGTTTGACTAAACTGCGGATGGCTCCGTCATGCGGCCTTAAACCATGACGGATTCGCTGCGCAGATGTCGGCCCGAGTACGCTACCCGGATACATACGAAGACAAGGAGGAGGTCAGAAATAGCAGACAACCGTTTGCTAAGTAGCTCAACCCAGTTGTGTTTGCCGCGCTATTGCGCATAAAAAAACGTGCCTGACTAAATGGATTGTCGACCAATTCAGTCTCTGTGATCCTACGAAGGTACAGATGAAAGAGACGGATAGCGTGGGGGAGGTTTACGCAGAGTGAGGGTGTATGAGTAGAGGGTTTGCATGGACGAAGGCGACGCGGTGAAAGGAAGGTCAGAGTGGTGGAGAATGAGGTGACATGGTTAGTGTCCGTGAATCATGCTGACTCACGTCAAGGATGAGAACAAGTCAATCGATGCTGCACTCGAGGGGACATCGCGTATAGCAAAGGCCATCGAGCGAGCCCTCAAATGAAGCATATTGAGCTTCTGGAACACGTGGCACCTAACTCGTGACTGATTGGTCAAGAACAGTGGTGAGTTCAATTTCGGGTGTCGCTAATTTCCCACAGGCTCGTCTGACAGTTCCCTCATATTCTTTCTTAAACCATACTTACTATCCCAAAATACTGTTAGATAAATTACTTGAAAGCAGTGCAGATCATTGAAATCTAGCCAATGTTTTCATTCGCTTGAATAAGCTTTGAACAAGTGAATCAGCGTTTCAAGTTATACAGAGGTAATTGCCAATCAGGTCTACGTCTTAGCGTGTCGAGGCGCTGAACAGATTGCGAACTTTCACCAGTTTAAGCTACTGCAAGATGCCAAGACGTAACATCACTTCGAATTGGAGAGGCGTCTGAAGTATTAATTATTCACTTTTGTTATCGAACTACACGTGTAACAGTACTGTCAGCCTACTGATAATTTTCTGCAGCAGGTCACGCGCGAAACGTGACGTGGTGTGAGGTTGCTTTAACCACGTGGATGTTCCGATGACAGGTGTACTATACGAGGCACTCAACAACAATTTTGGTGAAAATGTGTCAGCACTAGCCCCAAATCTCTCCGCAACTAATCCGGTCACATTACTAACTGCACATTTACAGATCGTAACATAAATTAACCCAATTCTCGAAGGATTGGACGGTAAGATCTGTCGATTCCAGTTTGAAGAGAACTTGGCCACGTCATTCTGGAGTCAGGTTTGAAGGTGAATTTAGAATAATATGTAAAATTGTTAAAGCAATCAGTGAGGTTTTAACCCCGGTTGAAATTGACCTGAAAACAAATTGCGTGCTCAAATCTGTGAGTCGAAAATTGTGAAGAACATTCCCTCATCACCCAGTGCGCATCAGTCCTCGCAGTTGTCTTCGTTGAAGCCACACACGGAAAACTTGACCGACCACGTCTCTCATGGGCTGTGGATGACGTCCTTTGGTCACTTGAGTCACCATGTCCGGCGAGGCCACACACGTGGCCATTCCCCTTCTTGATTCAGAAAGCCTTCAGCCTGATTGGTTAATCGTCGACGTTGACGCTGCTGGTTGGCTTCACTCGGTTGATAACGTGGTTTTGATGGTTCACGCATGACCAAACACAGTGTTTACTAATCCCCGGGATTTCCTCTATTTCACGCCAACCAACTGTGAGTATCTGTGTCCAAATACAAACAAAAACACCTGTACCAGGTCGCTCAACCATCGACGGAGGCTCTCAAGTATGTAGCATTGTTACGCTTTGGGGTATCTTCAAGCAAATGGCCCACATTGGTGTTTCAAGTTGTGGGGTGTTACGGCTATGGCACTGGATCATCGGTACTTCGTCAGATGGATTTAAACGTAAAAGACGGCGGTGAGTTGATTTGAATTCTCACGAATTCGATTTCAGTTCAATCTTCCTGCTTGTGTTCAAGTTTGAAAGATGAGTTGGTGATCTGATCTTCTTCACCGACGCACCGATGCATTCCACAAACAGATTTCTACCATCACTAAGAGACCATATCGGTGGAGATATTTTGATATCAATTCGATATAAAACTCTTATTAAAACAATTCCAAGAGCTAATAATGCGGGTGAGAATCAAACGAGCTTCTGCCTTGCGGTTATTTCTGTACTGGATTCTCACCGTATACTTCGCCTGATGCGCTCATTTGTAAAAGAAGTACTTATGCATTTACCGGTAAGATGAATTAGATTGCGCAAAACATTGTGTGTGCATATTTGGGCGACAAAGTTTAGTAGGATTAAGCAGACTGAACCACTGATTTTTGGTTGTGAAATGGTGGTCTGTCGACACTATAAAACACACCAACCAATGAGCAAGTTATTCACATCTTCGCCTGTGTGCATTTGTTTAAAGGCAGTAATCTACTTTCACATCGAGTTCAAATTCTTGTTTGTAATTTGCTAAAGTCAAAATTTAAAATCTAACGCCGCTCCTTTCAAAGGTGAATTATCATCACAATCCCAATAAAAAAATTTTCTTTATTCTTAGTCTTTTGATTATCCAATATATTAATGCTCAAACAATTACATTTATGAGCTTCTCTTAGTGTCATGGCCAACTGAGCCTTAAAATCAAGTGCACACAAAAACCCAGGAAAACTGTACGATCATGTTGCGTATTAAAAACTACAAACAAACGAAATCACTCGTCAGCATCCCTCGCAATTTCCTCCTTCGTCATCACTGTGCAATTCCAGCTTGTATCTTCGCGGATGCCCAGTGAATTGAGAAGGCCAATGAGGTGGTTTGTGTTGTCCGAGTTGTCAGATTCCTTTTGCGCCACCTCAAACCTCACACCTAACACCGGTCCCCACTTCGGACTCCATGTCTTGATCCTGTGAACCAGGAGGTCCACTGAAATCACCCCAAGATAACCAACAAAATTGCTAAACGTCAGCATTCGTCCAAGCCAACAGCAAACGCTTGGCTGTTCAACGAATGCGCAGGTGAAGAGATCTGGATTGGTGATGCCTTTGTTGGCATTGTACGTGGAAATTTGTGACCACAGTTCTATTGGAGCGTCGTCTATGCAAATTCCTCGATGTGCGAGGCGATCAGCTAAATCCGGAAAAGAATGAATTCGGACAGAGTGTTTGATGACGACGATCAATTGTGCTGTTGGATGCCTATCTTCGGTGTTTCGTGAACCAAGATCGAAAGAGAGCACTAATTGACCGTACCCTTCATTCGAATTTTGCGCATCCTGGAATTGTATCATCTGTATCCCTGGTTTCAGATGAAGTTTGCGATCGTCAGCCTCCACAAGTTGAGTTACATCCACATTGAAACGGGTCATCATGTCGCTTGGTCCGTAGACTTCAAAGAACTTGATAAACGGTGCTGATGTCGTTGCACCATGAAATCCAAGGTGACTGTAGATGGTTTCCCTACCAGAGTTCTTCTGGTAAAACAGCTTAACGTAATTGGCAGACACTCGTCTGGCTTCAGCCTTCACCGCTTCTATGAGAACTCGTCCTTGTCCCTTCCCGCGGAAGCTTTCGCAGATATAAAGTTGGTCCACATAAATTCCACATCCCCCAAAGTTGAAATCCATGTCCTCTGTGAAAGCAATATACCCAATCACCTCTTCTTCAGTGTCATTATTCACGGTGAGAACCAGAAATTTGACGAAATTATCACGATGAAGATCCCGAAATGTTTCCAGAGTTAAGCGAGTATCCTTTCCCTGGTTCCGGTGTTCAAAAAATAATTTTCTGGTTTGACGATACAACTCATCACAGTCGTCTTCTCGCGAACAGCGAATAGAAATCATCATACGGACTAAGTGCTGCTGCTGAAAAGTACACATCTAAAGCATTCGCTGCTTATGATAACCCGACGAATCTGATCCATGATTGGTTGGACTTTCACGAAATCGAAATGCACGTGGTAATGAAGCACTCGTGATTGATCAGTACTACCGAGTTCCACCATAGTCATCCTATCTTTTCTGAGGAATTTGCAACAAATTAAACTCGCCTTCTTCGCAAATTCGCGACTGAAGGAATAAAAAGAAAACCATATTTCGACGTTGACTAAAACGCGATTTGTTTAAGTGAGCTGTGAATAAATCAATCGATATTTTGGTTAATTCTGTAAAAATATTTCATCAGACTTTGGTTCCTGCTTAATGAATTGCGATTGCCCTTTTCATTCATTCACGACTTATGCCGCAGTCTACTCTTAGTACTGTCTCAAAATAAGTAGGCAGGTGCTACTAACAAGGCGTTCGCAGAATGAGTGGGAATAAAATTGAAGTCGAACGACGCATTTGTTTAAATGAACTGTGAATATACCATTCAATGTTTAGTTAATTCTGTCAATCAATACCCTTAGGCTGCAGATTTCGATTTCTGAGGCCTGGTTAGGACGGATGAATGCCTTTTTCCTTTTTGTAACTTTTTCAAATGTCGTGTCGTCATTTCACTGACCGTCCAACTGCAACTTGTGGATGCATCAGAAGTTATGTTTAAAGGCTATAAATGCAATGTTCTTTGGGGCACCGAAACTGGCCCGTTGCCTGTAGTGAGGTGCCACTTTATGCAAACACCATGTTGAAGGCCTTTTGCCACGCGAAGTAACCCGGGAAGATAGTAAGTCCAGAGATGGCAGGCACGACCGTTTACTAGACAGCTTAACGAAGTTGTGTCGTGTACAATTACGGTTCAGTGGACATGTACAACAATAAACAGGTGTCTGTGAGGTCACATGACTGAAACGGGTGGTGGTGGTGGGACATGCAGAGTGATTAATGGACCAGTGGCCTCACGTGACTGACGGGCAGGTCGTGAAAAGGGGGAGGGTGTGTGCAGGAAGCTGCGAGGACTGGGTTATTGGACCTGAATCAACACGAATCTCTACAACCATTTCCATTTCTGAGCACTACAGGGTTCTGTGAAGGAACAGAGCCTTCAGAACGATTGATTAAGTTTTCGCAAATATACCGTGGTCTGTTCTTAGTACCTTCTCAAAATAAGTAGACATACGAGAGAGAATGAGAGTAATACTGAAGCTAAACACAATGCTTGAAACGTCACTCGAAGACAGTGGAGGTCGGTTTCATGGTACCTCTTCAATGGAAATAAACAGGTTAAAGGCATGCTGGTTGCTTGCATTGCCATCGCAACTAGTGCTGATGTTTTGGCAACCGGAAATAGATTAGTTTTTACAAATCACCCGCCTTAAATTACACCTAACATCTGCGCCTACATTTCAAGGCAGCGCCTCCATTTATAGGTTGATACTTTATCCATAATTTTATTGGTTTCCACTCTGAGCGTCATATAGTCGTGAGTTTATTTAAATTAAATAGGGTTTACTGAAAAGGGTTGCATTTTGTTTGAATTAAGTTGTTCAAACAAAGCGTGAAATTGACCAATAACCTTTTTACGTAATTATGTACTGTTGGTTTTCTTATATTTTGATTGGTTAGTTTCGTAAAACAAAGAATTAATCTTGGCACATGTCAAACTCCAATAGCCGGATACTTTCCCGCCCCGGTTTATTACTTGAAATTGTAGTGATGCAACACGTGGAAAACTGGATCGACTACTCTCCCCATGGGCGGTGAATGACGTCCGTTAGTCACGTGAGTCACCATGTCAGGCGAGGACATGCACGTAGCCATCACCCCAATTGAATCAGAAAAGCGTCAGTGATATGGGGTTAGTCGCCGATGTTGTGATGCTGGTTTCCTTGTTGAAGATGGCTGGCTTCATTCGGTTGATGGCGCGGTTGTGATGGTTCACGCAACCTGTAAGTATCCGTATCCAAACACGAACAACAACACCTGTATTAGGTTGTTCAATCATCGATGGAGTCTCCCAAGTATGAAGATTTGTTACACTGTGTAATATCTTCAAGCAAATGGCCCACATCAGTGCTTCAAAAGTTACTGCAAATTAGGTTAACTGTCGATTGTATGTTAGGTGACAGAAGGGGCGAGTAAGTACCCCATTGGCCGATATCGCTATTTAAATGAGGGTATTTAAAAACGTGGTGATTTCCCTTGTTCGTCACCGAATGTGCTTTTGGCTGTGTGGAATCACAGCATCTCGTTTGCCTCAAAAAGTCCTGGGCACACGCTAAGGCCAACCTCGTCGGGTCGCTGTGATTGGTCGCCGTGACTGTGACCGTAAAACCACGCTTAGAGTACTTTCGTGTCAGTTCGCACCTGAGCTGATGTCGAAGGTGACTGGAAATGGACGGATAGCGTGTTAGAAGTGGCAATACCGGAAGACAATGTTGAGAACTTATGAAATTAGCAAAACAGCCACAACCGCATCACGTGCGGATTCTGTAGCACTACATCACAATGGTATTTGAAATGCACGTAGAAATATCAGACAGTGGTAGTCGTTACCTTAAGGGTAAATCTTCAGCTACGCCACCTCGTGATTTTGAAATCCACATTGGGGGCGTCACTTTTGAGCGTTGTATGACAAGTAGTGCTCTCAATGTCTTCGCTTTTCAGTGAATCAAACAATTTTAAACTAAGAGGAGATTGTGGCCGTCCAACAAGCCGGATTACTAGGGTTCACGCAGACGATCAACAACAATAGCACGAACGAACTATAGGCACTATGCTGACGATGACTGTCAATGTGTCACGGTTACAAGGAAAGCAAAAGTGAGATGTGAAGGGTTTCGATAAACGGTTGGCAAACCGTCCTCTTAGTAGCACTATAGGAGACTTACATAAATGGAGTACGGTTACGGTTAATGTGTGCCAAAATACCCAAAGAATAGCCAGAATCTTGTGCACACATTTATGCGCTAAATAGTCGTGTAGCAAGGAGAGTGATTAAGCAGACCGAACCACCGATTTCTACGCTATGAAACGGTGGTCTCTACATTGCGGCATTTGTCGACAATATAAAATTAGTAAACCAATTAACATGCTGCTTAAACTGTCGCCTGTGTTCTTTCATACTCAGCCACCATGTTAAGTCGAACAAGTTGTTTGAACATTGTTACGTCAACTGAAGCACTCGAAATCTCAAAATTAAAAGTCACGCAATTCGTTTTGACGTTGAATTGACATCACAGTTTCAAGCAGTCAGCTTTAACCAATCAAACGCTCGTTTGCAAAATCCATTGAACAGCCAATCAATATGTCGCAATTTTTCAATGCTCAAACGATTGCATCAGTGAGCTTTTGTCAGTACCATGTCCAAGTGGGTAGCAATATCAGTTACGCATATCAAAATCCAAGAGAAGGACGCAGCAATCTTGCTGCGCATTTAGGACAGCTGAGATAAGGGAAAACGAGCATACTACCAAACAAATTTCCATCTTACTAAGACAAGTGCTACAGGGTCTAATGAAGGACAATACCAAATCTGTCACTGAAATCTGTAAAAAACTAGAATTGCACGAAATCAGTCGTCAGCATTCCTCACAATTTCCTTCTTCGTCATCACCATGCAATTCCAGCTTGTATCTTCGCGTATTCCAAGTGATTTGAGAAGGTTAGTGAAGTGGTTTGTGTTCTCCCTGATCTCAGATTCTTTCTGCGCCACCTCAAACTTCACTCCCAACACCGGTCGCCACTTCTGAATCCACGCTTTGATCCGGCGAGCCAGCAGATCCACTGAAATCACCTCAAGGTCACCAACAAAACTGCAAAACGTCAGAGTTCGTCCGTGCCAACAATTAACACTCGGCTGTTCTACGAATGCGCAGATGACGAGATCTGGATTGGTGATGCAGTCGTTGGCATTGAACGTGGAAATATGTGACCACAGTTTCAGTGGATCGTCGTCTGTGCAAATTCCTTGAGTTGCGAGGTACTCAAGTATGTGTGGAAGAGATTGAATGCGGACGGAGTGTTTGATGACGATGGTCAATTGTGCTGTTGGATATTTATCCTCAGTGTTTTGAGAGCCAAGACTGACAGAGAGCACCAATTGACCGTACCCATCCACCGAGTCTTGCACATCCTGGTACTCTATCACCTCTATACCTGGTTTGTGGGCAATTCTGGGAACATCCGCCAACCCTAGTTCATTCACGCCCACCTTGAATCGGGCCATCAAGTCTCTTGGTCCATAGACCTCGAATAATTTGATGAACGGTGGGGAGGTGGACACATTGTGAAATCCAAGGCGAGCGTAGATGGCTTCTCTACTAGGGTTCTTCTGATAAAAAAGCTTTACGTAATTGGCTGACACTCGTCTGGCCTCAGCCTTCACAGTGTCCATGAGAACTCTTCCTTGTCCCTTTCCACGAAATCTTTCGTTGATATAAATTTGGTTCACATAAATGCCACGTCCACCAAAGTTGAAATCTATGTCCTCTGTGAAGCCGATGTTTCCGATAACCTCTTCCTCGGTGTCACTGTTCACGGTGAGAACCCGAAACTGGACAAAGCAGTCACGATGAAGATCTCGAAGTGTTTCTGGGGTTAGATGAATATCATGTTCCAGGTCCAGATGTTCCAAGAAGAGTTTTTGTGTCTGTTCATAAATCTGGTCACAATCGTCATCACATGAAGAGCGAATCGAAAACATAACTTGGACTAACTGATGGTGCTTAAAATTGTGCATATAGGTGTGGCAACGGATCAGGGCGCTGGCATATTGGACCACACTGGCCTCAGCCAATCCTGTGTCTCTCTGCGTTCCAATGGCCTGCGAATTCGGTTCACGATTGGCTGAATCGTCATGAAGATTGGATGCACGTGATAAGGGTGTACTTTTGTTTGATCATTCAAAATCGTGTGCCAATGACGCACATCGGCGTTTCAGCTTTGATAGTTAGAAATAATGCGGGTAGAGAACGTTTGTTTTCACAGTAAACTAAGTACGCGATTAATAGTTGTTGACGAAGAGGTGATTCTTTACTCATTGACCGATATCGGTATTTAAACGCGGGTATTTGAAAACGTGATGATTTACCTTGTTCGTCACCGAATGTGTTTTTGGTGTGTGGAATCACAGTGTCGTGAATCCTGTTTACTCAATCCCCTAATCCGGTTGCTCCACCTCCAGCAGCGAGAATCATCAACTCCCCTTCATTAGCCTGAATATTTATCTTGGAGTGTCCCCACACATAGGTCTCGATGTTAGCGCATGTATGACTCACATCCGAGGCAGAAATACACACGCGCAAACACCACACACGACACAACGACACCGACGTGGTTGACCTCTGAAGTAAACGCTTATGTCCGTACTCTCCGGCCTTTTCCTTCATCGCGGGTATCAAGCCTTTTAACTGCCGTCAGCATACCCATTCACATGCTTCGGTAATTGTGCAGGATCAGTTCTCAGGACCTACCCACGTCCACATTTGTTTTGATTCACGTGGTATTCTAAGATAACTTACCAGACCCAATTGCTCTGAGAGGTTACAGTTTGGTGTTTGAATGCTTCTTAAGACGGCATGCAGCTTAGTTGTTCTAGCTTCTGAGGTAAGGATGGATTTGGGGGTTTCTAAGCTAAACCACAGGTTCTCGAAATACTTATGAAAATGTCAGTGTTCCTGTCAGGTGCTATTGAATGAGTTCAATGACCACGTGTTGCATTTTACAGCTGTCACTTTACTTCGCATTAGAAGTGGTCCTTAGAATTAGCCTCGGATAAAAAACCTTGATACCTGTTGAGGCCCTTTACCACATGAAGTAACCCGGGACGGAAATAAGTCCAGAGGTGGCAGGCACAATCGTTTACCAGATAGCTCAACAGTTTGTGTCGTGTACTTTAACAGTTAGGTGGACAGGTAAAAATAAACATTGGCGTCTGTGAGGTCACATGACTAAAACGGGTGGTGGTGGTGGTGGTGGTACACACAGAGCGGTTAATGAACCGGCAGCCCCGCTTGACTGACGGGCACGCCACGAAAAGGTGGAGACGTATGTTGGAAGCTGGGACGACTGGGTTATTGGGCATGAATTAACACGATTCACTACATCCCCTTCTTGATTGTTCTTCAGACGCTACCATCAAGAATAAAATGAGCCTCTTGATCGAATTTAGCAGTGGCAATTGTTGTCTCGAGGGTCGATCATCGACTCTGCCACCCCGTTTCCTTAACCAGACATGGCAGCCTCAATTGTGCTGCTCATTGTTGAAATCTGGGATGTGATTTGGCAATTAACATAGGCGAGGGATGATCGCAGTGAGGAAGCTTGATTGAGACGATAAAATATCTCTGCTCCAGGTCTTGTCTTGCATTAGCTTTGAGACGAAATTTTCACGATGAAGATCTCGAAATGTTTCTCGGGTTATATGACTATCCTGTTAAAGGCTCTGATATTCAAAGAATAGTTTTCGTGTCTGTTCATAAATTTTGTCACAATTGTCATCACGTGAAGAACAAATAAAAAAACATCACAAGGACTATGTGCTGGTACTGAAAGGTGTGCATATGAAGGATTCGATGGTAGTTAGAACCAGAGGAATATAGTTCATGTTTGGTTGAATATTCATGAAGATGGGATGCACGTGATGATTGTGTACTTGTGTTTGTTCATGCAAAATCGTGTGCCCCTGATAGCTGAACCGCTGAAGTGATCGAATCAGACAACCACAGTAGTTGTGAATCTACTAGTAAGCTTTAGCACTTCGTCCAGTAGCATTCTGCTGCTCTAGAACTAACCTGCTTGTGACATTTCCCGGCGCATCAAATCACAGCAGAGTCACCTTATGTTCAAGTCGGAATAATGCAAGTGATTCGGATAATTTCATCTGCACCTCCATTCTGAGACATCCCGTCAACGAAATTCCAACACCACCACCACCACCACCGCCGCCACCACCACCACCACAACCACCACAAAGAGACCATGTCGGAGGAGATAGTTCGAAATTACTTCAGCGTATAGCTCTCGCTGTAACACTTTCGCGGGCATGTCGAATTAGGCGCTAACTGTGTAGTTGGAAATCACACGATAGTGGCACCTCAATTCACGAGCCACTGTGTTCTGGGCCCCTGTTAATGCGCAAGCGACTTGTGAAGTATCCCTTTTACTTGCAAACATACAAACCCATTCACATGTTCCGCTAATTGTGCACGATCAGTTCTCGGGACATGGCAAGTTCCACACTTGATTCGGTGTGCGGATTCACGTGGCACTCTAAGATCAGCTGTCGATTAGGCAGATTTATTAGCACAAATTAAATGGAAAAATTGACAAGCACACCTCAGGATAGGTCTGTGCGAAAGTGTCCGAACTATATCCACAAACGTCTGCGCACATTCAAGCGATACAAGTGTTGCCTGGGAGGGATGGTGATTAAACCGACTGAACCACCGACATTTTAAGTTGTGAAATGGTGGCTTCAACGTTGCCATGTTTGTCGATATAAAATTTGTCAACCAATCGGCAAGTCATTTACGTCGTCGCCTGTGCACATAAACACGCAAGGAGTCTCTACATCGTTTTAACAACAGATGACCAAGAAATCTCAAGCAGCTCGTTTTAAAATCTGAATTATCACCACAACCTCAACGTATATGGTTTGATAAATTAAATGTCTTTTCGCAAAGTCGTTTGAACAGCGATTCAAAATGTCGCAATTTATCAATGCTCAAATGATCACATCCGTTAGCGTCTGCCAGTGCCATGTCTAACTGAGCACCAATATCAGTTGTGCATGTCAAAATTTAAGAGAAGGACACAGCAATCTTGGTGCGTATTTACGACAGCTGAGATAAAGAAAAACGAGTATACTGTAAATAGTATTTCTTATCACTTAGTCAATTGTCACAAAGTCGAATAAACAATAATCCATAATCAGTCACTGAACCTGACAATGTTACTCATCAGCGTCTCTGGCAATATCCTCCTTCGTTATAACCATGCAATTACGTGAAGCATCTTCGCGTATTCTAAGTGATTTAAAAATGGCAACAAGGTGGTTTGTGTTGTCCGTGTTCCCAGATTCTTTCTGCGTCACCTCAAACCTCACTCTCATTACCGGTCCCCACCTCGGACTCCATGCCTTGATTCGGTGAACCAGCAGATCCCCTGAAATCACCCCAAGATCACCAACAAAATTATAAAACAAAAGCGTTCGTCCAAGCCAACAACTAGTGCTCGGTTGTTCCACAAAAGCACAGATGTAGACATCGGGATCGCCAATGCCTTTGTTGGTATTGTACGTGGAAATCTGTGACCACAGTTTCAGTGGAGCGTCGTCTATACAGATTCCTTGGTGTGCAAGGAAATCAACTAAATCTGGAAGAGATTGACTGCGGACGGAGTGTTTGATGACGACGATCAGCTGTGCTGTTGGACGTTTATCTGCGGTGCTTTGTGAACCAAGACTAAACGAGAGTGTCAATTGACCGTATTCGCCCCTTAAGTGTCGCGCATCCAGGAACTGCGTCATCTGTACCCCAGGTTTGAGGGGAATGGTGCAAACGTTCGCCTCTGCAAGTTCATTGACGCCCACATGGTATAGTGCCATCATTTCTACTGGTCCAGAGGCTGCAAATAATTTGATAAACGGTGGAGAGGTTGAAACATTGTGAAGTCCCAGGTGACTGTAGAGGGCTTCCCTAAATTCGTTCTTCTGGAAATACAGCTTCACATAATTGGCGGACACTCGCCTGGCCTCAGCCTTCACAGCTTCCATTAGACGTCGTCCTTGTCCCTTTCCACGAAACTTTTCGCAGATATACAGTTGGTCCCCATGAATTCCACATCCTCCAAAGTTGAAATCCATGACCTGAGTGAAAGCAACGTACCCAATCAGCTCTTCCTCGGTGTCATTGTTCACGGTAAGAACTCGAAACTGTATGAAATTGTCACGATGCAGATCCCGAAATGTTTCCAAAGTTAAACGTGCACCCTGTTCCTGGTTCTGATGATCAAAGAAGAGTTTACGTGTCAGTTCATAAATCTTGTCGCAATCGTCATCACGTGAAGAGCGAATCGAAAACATCACAAGGATTAACTGCTGGTGCTGAAAAAGTCTATTTATATGAAGCATTTGGTGGTAGTTAGAACCTGATGAATTCGGTTCATGATTGATTGAATGTTCATGAGAATGGGACACACGTGATAATGGTGTACTAGTGATTGATCATTCAAAATCATGTGTCCCTAATGGTTGCACCGCTTCGTTGGAATTTCGTCGAAACCTACTTCGCCTTCCTCATAAGTGCGATTGGATGAATGAATGAAGTGCGACTGAGAACACTGAATTTGCTGATGGATTAAAAATTTAAAAACAATTTCATAATTGGAAAAACGATTCAATCGGGGCTACGCTCCCATTTGTTTAAATGAGTAATTGATGCATCAAACGATTTAATTCTATCAATCAGTATCCTCAGACCTCAAATTTTGGTTGCTGAGTCCTGTTGGAAATGGAAAACTGTCTTTTTCATTTACTCACGAGGCGTGTTTAAGATAGGTAGATGATTGCCATTTTACACATTCTTAATTACTTTTAATACAAAGACGTTATTTCAACGACCTTGCAACTACGACTTAATGATGCATCAGCAGTTATGTTTAAAAGTCCTATCGCCAAAACTAACCAGTTGCTTGACTTAAAGCACAAATTTATACCGTACTTATACAAACCGTAAGCAAAAATACCAAGGGCTTCCGGTTAAGTAAATTTCCTGTCAATAGAACTAGGGTGTCAAGAGAATATCTTGAAAAATTTGAGCAACTTTGAGCACGAATGGCAGTCTCCAAAATGATTGGCTGCTTTGTGCGGCCTAATTTTAGCACCAATCTGTTATAAACATAGGGCATTGCCACGGTTGATTACTTCTATTTCAGATCACAATAATGGTTCTGTGAACAGACAGCGCCTTTGAACTGTTTGATTAGATTGGCCTAAATATGCCCTGGTCTATTTCTAGTACTGGCTCAAAATAAGTAGACAATCGATCACGACATCGCGTTCACAGAATGAATGGCACTAATATTGAAGTCGAACACAATGCCTGTGGAGACGTCACTCGAAGACACTGGAGGTGGGTTTTATTGCACCTCCGCTATGGCAATAACCGGGTCAGACGCGTGGTGGTTGCGTTAGTGCCTGCGTTGCCACGGCAACATGTGCTGATATTTGGCCAGCCGGAAATAGCTTAGTGAGCACAAAGCAGCCGCTTTTCAGTCACCATCGCCTTCCACAGCTACTGCGTAACGCAATGCTTTCATTTATAAGGTCATGCCTTATCCAACACTGCACTGCTCTTCACTTTGTGTGTCATATAGCCGTGAATTTACTTACTTACGTTGACGAGGTTCCGCTGAAAACGCCTGCATTTGCTTCGGTGTGCGTTTTATGGGTTGACTGAAGGTGTGGCTCACGTCAAATGCGGTTCCTTTGTGCTTTCAGTGAAGAAGCAAAATATTTGACAAGACAAACAGGAGGTTTACATCCCTGCATCAGCCGGTCTCGGGCAACTTCGAGGTAGATCGTTGTGTGGTATTGTATCTAACGTGAGAGCAGCCTCCGTTGCAGTGTCCACTTGTTACAACGAAACTGGCTTCCCAATGAGAGAATTGCCAATTTCGTATGCACACGATATTAAAAGCAATAATATCCACGTGGACACAACCACACATGTTTGACAAGGTTTATTTTCTAAACCCCCAATTGATGTTCCTTTGGCTCACAACTCTGCATTGTTACCATGCAGGCGATCACTGTGTGAGATGTCTTGGTGCCAGTTGGGACTTCAATGCTACTTTCACTGTCTCAGAAGTAGACAACCCCAATCAACGCACTCTCAGTTGATGCGGCCTCGACTTCACTTCATTTTGAAATGCTTATGTTTTCTGTCGCATCTTCTCGAAGATGATTTTATTCCTCAAACACAAGGTTGTTCCTAAGCAGTTTGCCCATGGAGAATGAAGCGAATCCCAACTGCCGGATAATGGAAATGGAACAGTTTATTCTTCCTTTCCCATTCTGTATCCACTTCAGATAACATCGTATGACGTGACGTGTCTGGAGGCGTTCCTCCTGGACCGAATTCACCCATCTTTTCTCTTAACATTCTAGACTATGTCGTCAACGGCAGCTTAAACTAACTCGGCCGCTTATATTCTGAAAACGAAGATATTTTTACTGTGAGGAGTGTTTACCGTGATTAACATGTTGACTAAAACTGAACACTCGCTTTCAGAAAATTCACGCATTTCACCTGAATTGACAGTTCCCAGTGCGTTTATTTGCATCTTGATCGCGTGCGGCATGCCAACGACAAAATTAACTGTTTTTTCTCATTCCCAGCAAACACCGACGCTCGTGTGTCAACAGTAAATTGAAAAGACGAAGCAGAAATAAGATGTGCTTTGCGCTGTAAAATTTTACTAAAAACTTTAAAAAAAATATCTGATTTAAACGATCCTCAAACACGGGTCAAGAGAGGTACAACAATTTCCCCATTTTTTCTACTGACTTGCATCTAATCTAACAGTAATCCCATTGCGGCACTGTAGTACAGAAAGCAGGTCAAATCTGCAACAGTTTTCGAAATGTGATACAAAATGACACCAGCTTTAAGGCGGTGTTTATTTAAAATCGACTTTGCATTGGCGATCTGCTTCATCCTATTTTCGTCTTTTTTAACCATTTCTTTATTTACGCATTTTGGGCGAATGCGACGTTTAATCGATTTTATCAAAGAGTGAAATTGATAATATCTGCTGCTTCGAACCTGCTGTCTGCGCTTCGATACTCCAATGTGCGTGCTACGTGAAATCGACATCTCCAACAAATCAAAACACAGATGTGGATTTTCATTACGATACGCTCAGGCTGTTAACGAACAGTAACCACTGTGAAATCTCAATCTCCTGGTGTTCGACAAGATCTAAATGGAGACTTCACGGATAGTGCAAGCCTCCATTTTTTCCAATTAAACTTGATGCCGACTGGGAAGTTACACGGCTCTCCTCTCCTTTATTTAATCATGGGACAAATCTTGCTTGTGAACAGGAAGCATGTGTTCTAATGCACATTCCTACGCCCCAAACTTGGGTGTGACACGTGTGACATGCTAGCATTATTTCACCAATGACAGAATGGCCTCCTTCATAGGCACAGGAATCAGATTGGTTGGTTTTAGTGAATTTCACCTCAGCATCGAGCACACGCCCCAATCATCTGTTGACGTGGTTACTAAGACGCACCCTACACAATTCAACAAGCATCTCCAGTGGGTGACAAACATCACAAGAATTAACTGCTGGTGCTAAAACTACATATGTGACGTGAGCAACAATATCAGTTGTGAGTAATAACGACGGCTGAAATAGGGAAAAACAAGTATGTTATCAAATAAATTTCCATCATACAAAGACAATTGCTACAGGGCCTAATGAAGGACATTTCAAATCAGTCACTAAAATCTGTTAAAAAGCAAGAATTGGACAAAATCAGTCGTCAGCTTCCCTCACGATTTCCTCCTTCGTCAGCACCCTGCAATTCCAGCTTGTATCTTCACGTATTCCAAGTGAATTGAGAAGGTTAATGAGGTGGTTTGTGTTATCCCTGATCTCCGATTCTTTCTGTGCCACCTCAAACTTCACTCCCAACACCGGTCCCCACTTCGAACTCCACGCATTGATCTGGTGAACCAGCAGATCTCTTGAAATCACCCTCACATCACCAACAAAATTGCAAAACGTCAGCGTTCGCCCAAGCCAACAGCTGGTGCTCGGTTGTTCCACAAAAGCACAAATGAAGAAATCAGGATTGGTAATGCCTTCGTTGGTATTGCGCGTGGAAATCTGTGACCACAATTTCAGTGGAGCGTCGTCTACGCGAATTCCTTGATGTGCGAGGTAATCAACTAAATCTGTAATGGGTTGACTGTGGACGGTGTGTTTGATGACAACGATCAGCTGTGCTGTTGGGTGTTTATCCTCATTATTTTGTGAGCCGAGACTGAAAGCGAGCGCTAATTGATCGTATTCATCCCTCGCGTGTTGCGCATCCTGGAACTGTGTCACCTCTATACCTGATTTGAGGGGAATCGTGCAAAGTTTCGCCTCCGCAAATTCAATTACATCCACATTGAATCGATCTGTCATTTCTTGCGGTCCGAAGACTCCAAAGAACTTGATAAACGGTGGGGAGGTGGACACATTGTGAAATCCAAGGCGAGAGTAAATGGCTTCTCTACTAGAGTTCTTCTGGTAAAAGAGCTTCACGTAATTGGCAGACACTCGTCTGGCCTCAGCCTTCACAGCTTCCATTAGACGTCGTCCGTGTCCATTACCGCGGAAGCTCTCGCAGATATAAATTTGGTCCACATAAATGCCACACCCCCCAAAGTTGAAATCCATGTCCTCGATGAAAGCAATGTACCCAATCACCTCTTCCTCGGTGCCATTGTTCACGGTGAGAACTCGAAACTGGACAAAACAGTCATGATGAAGATCACGGAATGTTTCTGGAGTTAAGTGGGCATCCTTGCCCAGGTTTTGATGTTCAAAGAAGAGTTTTCGTGTCTGTTCATAAATCTGGTCGCAATCGTCATCACGCGAGGAGCGAATCGAAAACATCACTTGGACTAAATGCTGTTGCTACAACTGTGTGCACATGAAGCATTCGGTGGTATTTAGAACTCGAGGAATTCGGTTCATCATTGGTTGAATGTTCATGAAAATGGGATGCACGTGATAATGGTGTACTTGTGATTGATCGTTCAATATCATGTGCCAGTGACATACATCGGCTTTACAGCTTTGATAGTTATAAAAAATGAAGGTATGGAAGGTTTGTATTGGCCTTAATTTAAGTAATGCCTTTTCCACATTGTATTGACTGCTGAACTACAACGCGTGATTGCGTCAGCAGTTATGACCATAAATCATAAATGCAATGTTCTTTGGACCACCGAAACTAACTAGTTGTCTATCTTCTACGGCCACTTTATGCCGTATTTGTACAAACCCCAAAACACAAACAACATTGGTTTTGGTTAAGTGGAATTCATGTCAGCCTAACTGGGGGTTCGGAGAACCTTTTGAAATCTTCCTGAAATTTTTACCATGTATCGCAGTCGTAAAGATGGTTGGCTACGTTGTGTAAGACAATCGATTTGTAGCCATTGATCTGCCTCTAGAACCCAACTCAGAACCCACGATCTGTCGAGTTAGAAAGTGGTGTTTTCCACTCGGCGATGTTTCTACACAGGAGAGAATAATCGCGTGTTCCATATGTAGCGGACGTGCTGTACTTGTTGAAATAAACACCAATCGCTCACACAGAACAGATGTGTGAATCCACTCTGCACATAGAAAATGTCGTGGTTGATTGAGTTGTAGTGAGATGCCGACAGTTAGGTGACTGTCGCGTGAACCTTACTCCACATGTGCTCAGTGTGTCCACTGTTTAAATAAACTCACTACCGGCGTATTTTTTTGGGAATCTGTGCCTTCTTTCAAAGTATCAACGCACAAGGACTGCAAATTAAGTAGCTTCTCAGTTGACTGAAATACTAACAACTTCGCACATATACTACAACATTGTATTGCCATTAAGCGCTGCTGCATTTGTTAGGAATGGTTACTAGAGGGGCCAGCCGGTACGGACACTGGGTTGAGGAAGACGCTACAGTGGTTAGCATTACCAATGTGAGTACTTGGTCTTCGGCGTGGTATTTAGAGCGAATGCGTGTGTTGCACGGAGACTGTAGAGAAAGCCAACTGCCAACTCAGTCTTCCTCCAACACCATTCTCCACCCACTTCCGATCATTCCGTGCAATATGATGTGTCTAGAGACTTCTCTGCTCGCCCAAACTTGCCCACTTCTTCTCTCTCCATATTCCCTACAATATCGGCAGCAGTAATTAAATGCGAAACGGCGTTTTTTTCCACAGTGAACACAGACTTTTATTGTCAGGGTTGTATAAGGCGACTTAAAGACCATAACTCGCCTTCAAAATAATCCACCAATTTCAAATGATTTGGTAGTGTACAGTGCGTGTTTGGTCTTTGGATCGCGCTGGACATGAAAACGATAAAACTGTTTCTTTCTCACACACACACGCAGCAAACACTGTCGCACGTTCGTCAACCGTAAATTGCAAATTCTGAGCTAAGTGAAAAGACGAGCGTAAAATGATATAGATAGGCGAAGAAATATCTGATTTAAGGATTCTCGAAAATGGTACCAGAGTCTGGAAAATTGTCTACTTGTTTTCCACCAATTTGCATCTCGTCGCATAGGCGACGCCGTGGGTGCATTTCAATGCTGACAGCAACATTAGGGCAAGCAAATGTGTGATTGAAGCCGAGTGAATTAGAAGTAGCACAAGCGTATGAGTGGTCCGGTGCACAAAACTGGCATGGGTGGTTCACGGACAGGAAAGAACGTGCAGATACCTCAGCGTGACTGAAGGCACGGCGTTAGAAGAGGGACGTGTGTGTGTGTGTGTGAGAGAGAGACTGAGATGACCGGGTTACTGGACGTAAACCTTGACAATTTGCTGCCAAAACTTCGAGTCTGTTGAGCAGATTTGCAGGCTGAAGTGATCTAACCAGTTAACGACAGTAGTTGTGAATTTACGAGTGAGCTTTGGCACTTCGTCCAGTGGCATCCTACTGCTTTAGAGCTAAACAACTTCTGACATTTCGTAGCGCTTCACACCTCAGGGGAGTCACATAAACAAGTCAGGACAATGCGAGCATTTCGGACAGTCTGGAGATCCTTTTTTTCTGCACCTCCATTCTGAGACATCCCGTCAACGAAATTCCACCACCACCACCACCACAAAGACACCATGTCGGAGGAGATAGTTCGAAATTACTTCAGCGTATAGCTCTCGCTGTAACACTTTCACGTGCATGTCGAATTAGGCGCTAACTGTGTAGTTGGGAATCACACGATAGTGATACCTTAATTCACGAGACACGTTGTTCTCGGGACATGTCAATGCGCAAGCAAATTGTGAAGTAGCTCTTTTACTTTCTACATACGAACCCGGTAATTGCGCACGATCAGTCCTCGGGACATGGCAAATTCCACACCTGATTCGGTGTGCGGATTCACGTGGCACTCTAAGATCAGCTGTCGATTAGGCAGATTAATTAGCACAAATTAAATCGAAAAAATGATAAGCACACCTCATGATATATGAGCGCGAAATCGCCCCAATAATATCCTCAAACGTCTGCACACGTTCATGCGATGCAAATGTTGCCCAGAAGGGTGGTGATTAGGCCGACTGAACTACCGATATCTTAAGTTGTGAAATAGTGTGGCGACGGACCAGGGCGCAGATATATTGAACCACGCTGGCTTCAGCCAATCCTCTATCTATCTGTGTTCCAATGGCATGCGAGGAAGTATGCAATGAGCGGCGTGGCCAGCGACGTATACTCGGATGGAAGGCGCCTGACGTGTGGCTGTTGCTTGTAATTGGTCAAAAAGCCTGTTCTGTTGTACCGGTCTTTTTCCTATTAGGGCTCGGATATTCTACAGTAGTGCCTTTAGTGTTGCTATGTTCTCAGATATTACGACATTTGTCAACCAATCGACAAGTCCCTTATATTGTCGACTGTGCACATGAACACGCAATGCGTTATCAACCACCACTGCGCGTTTCATTTGCCCTTTGTACCTCCGAAAGCTCACACAGCTAATTGAGGATGTGAGCTTTCACAACAATCTCAAGGCAACTGTTTTGTTTATTTAATGTTTTCTTTTGTCAAGTCGGTTGAACAGCCAATCATAATGTCGCAATTTATCAATGCTTAAACGATTGCATCCGTGAGCTTTTGTCAATGCCATGTCCAAACGAGCAGTAAAATCAGTTGTGCATATAAAAATCCAAGAGAAAGAGGCAGAAATCTTGCTGCGAATTAACGACAGCTGACTACACCAATGGCTATTGAGCCCAATAAATGCAAACGTACAATCGAAAGTAACAGAAGGAACTATTACCAATCCAAATTACTTATCAAACGACTGCACTTATGAGCTTCTTTTAATGCCACGTGAAAGTGGGCATGAAATATCAGAATTCAACTCGACACAATCTTATGGCGTATTAGGGACAACAAAATTGAGAAAACTAACGAACTACTGAGCAGCTTTTATTCTCGCTACGCTTGTAACAACGGTAAACATCTACTTCTCACGCAGACAAAAAGCACCAAGTCTAATTGGAAATAACGCAAAATAGGTCACCGATATCTAAGGGAACACAACAACTATAGCCTGACAATATCACTCATCAGCGTCTCTCACAATTTCCTCCTTCGTCATAACCATGCACTTGCGTAATGTTTCTTCGTGGATTCCAAGGGAATTGAGAAGGGCAATTAAGTGCTTTGTGTTGTCCGTGTTCTCACATTCCTTGTGCTCCACCTCAAACCTCACTCTCAACACCGGTCCCCACTTCGAACTACACGCCTTGACCTGGTGAACCAGCAGATTTCTTGTAATCACCCTTACATCACCAACGAAATTGCAAAACGTCAGTGTTCGTCCAAACCAACAATTAACACTCGGCTCTTCTATGAAGGCACAAGTGAAGAGACCAGGATTGGTAATGCCTGCTTTGACATTCCAGGTAGAAATCTGTGACCACAGTTTCAGTGGAGCATCGTTGATGCAAATTCCTTGAGTGGCGAGGTTTTCGAGTATGTGTGAAAGAGACTGATGGAGGGCAGAGTGTTTAATGACGACGATCAATTGTGCTGTCGGATGCTTGTCTCCGGCGTTGTGTGAACCAAGACTAAAGGAGAGTGCCAGTTGACCGCACCCATCAGCCGAGTCTTGCGCATCCTGGTATTTCGTCGCCTCTATACCTGGTTTAAGAGGAATCGTGCGAACGTTCGCCTCCACACGTTCATTTGCGTCCAAATTGAACCGAGCCATCATTTCTTCCCGTCCGGCAATTTCAAAGAACTTGATGAACGGTGAGGAGGTTGAAGCATTGTGAAATCCAAGGTGAGTGTAGATGGCTTCTCTAATTCCGTTTTTCTGGAAATAGAGTTTCACGTAATTGGCAGACACTCGTCTGGCTTCAGCCTTCACAGCTTCCATCAGACGTCGTCCTAGTCCCTTTCCGCGGTATCCTTCGCAAATATAAATTTGGTCCACATAAATACCACATCCTCCGAAATTAAAATTCGTGTCCTCTGTGAATGCAATGTACCCAATCACCTCTTCCTTGTTCTCTTTGGCCACGGTGAGAACTTGAAACTGGACGAAATTGCCACGACGAAGATCACAGAGAGTTCCTGGAGTTAAGCGAGTGTCCTCGCCCAGGTCCTGATGTTCAAAGAAGAGTTTCCTCGTCAGTTGATAAATCTGGTTGCAATCATCATCGCAGGATGAGCGAATAGAAAACATCACTCGGACTAAGTGCTGGTGCTGAAAAGTGCGCATTCAAAGCATTCGGTGGTGCACCTAACACGAGGAATTTGGTCCGCGATTGGTTGAACGTTCATAAAAATGAGATGCACGTGACGGTTGTGTACTTCTGCTTGATTAGTTAATATCGTGTGCTGTCAAGTTTCAACCTAACTATCGTATCGATTCGTTGGACTATCTTAGAAACCGGATTAGCCTTCCTCGTTAATGCTGTTTGATGAATGAATCAGGCAAAACACAGAACACCGGATTTCCACTTAGAGTCAAACGCAAGAGTTTCCGCCATTCGAAAACGGACCCAATGCAGGCAATGATTGCGTTTGTTTAAATGAGCTGTTTCCGATTCGATTGCACATCAATTTTCCCAGACTTTAGGTTTTTCATTCAGAGGCTTCTTTAAGATGAATGCAAATGCAGTGTCGTTGGTTCACTGACCTTTCAGCTACGACTTCATGATGCATCAGCCGTTATGTTTAAAAGTCACAAAGGTAATTTGCTTTGTTGCATCGAAATTAACCAGTTGCCTGTATTGATGCGCAAATTTATACCGTTTTTATGCAAACCCTAAACTTAAATACCAATGGATTTCGGTTGACCGAATTTCTTGTCAGTCGTACTGGGGTGTCGAGAGTATGTCTGGAAGAATTCGAGCAATTTTGAGCACGAATCGCAATCTCTAAAATGATTGGCTGCTTTTTACGGCCTGGTTTGTGTCCATACATCAGCTTTCAAAACGTGGAAAGGTGGCGTTAGTCAACTTTTGATGTATCCACGCACGCGAATGTGTTCATGTGCTTTATATTTAGTCAATGTTTTATGTTTGTAAAAGGAAACACAAATCGGCCATCCCAATTAAGGAGCATGAATCTGCTATACGCATAGGGCATTGCCATGGTCGATTTCTTCTATTTCTGATCACCACAATGGTTCTGTGAAGAGACAGCGCCTTCGGAATGTTTGATTGGATTGGCCTAAATATGCCCTGGTCTATTTCTCGTACTGGCTCAAAATAAGTAGACAATCGATCACGACATCGCGTTCACAGAATGAATGACAGTAATATTGAAGTCGAACACAATGCTTGAGGAGATGTCACTCGAAGACACTGCAGGTGGGTTTTATTGCACCTCCGTTATGGCAATAACCGGGTCAGATGCACTGTGGTTGCAGGAGTGCCTGCGTTGCCACGGCAACATGTGCTGATGTTTAGCCAACCGGAAAGAGCTCGGTGAGCACAAAGCAGCCGCTTTTCAGTCACCTTCGCCTTACACACCCACTGCGCAGACCAGCGCTTCGATTTGTAGGTTGACAACTTATCCAACATTTCAGTGGTGCCTACTTTGTGCGTCGAAAAGCCGTGAGTTTACTTTCTTACCTTGTCGAGGGTCCGCTGAATACGCCTGCATTTGTTTTGGTGTGTGTTTTATGGGTTGACTGAAGATGGCGACCTCGTGTCATATGCGGACAGTTTGTGCATTCAGTGAAGCAGCAAAATATGTAGTTTGGTGCACACTTCCTGACTGCATTAGCCGGTCTTGGGCAGCTTCGAAGCAGGTAGTTGTGTGGCATTGTGTCTGACATGAGAACAACCTCCGTAGCAGTGTCCATTTGTTTTTCACTGAAACTGTCTTCTCAAAATTATACCTGCCAGTTACTTCTACACACGATGTGAGTAAATATCAAGCGTAACAGAGTGCATTGTCTTCGTGTAGGCGATCACTGTGTGAGATATTTTGGTGCCAGTTAAGACTTCCATGGTACTTTGACAGCCTCAGATGTGGACAAATCCAATCAACGCAGTCTCTGTTGCTGCCGACTCGACTTCACCTGAATTCGACGCATCGTCTTGAAGATGATTTTTTTCCCAAACAAGGTGATTTCTGAGCAGTTTGTTCATGGAGAATGAAGCGAACACAACTGCCGGCTAGTAAAAACGGAACAGTTTCTTTCTCCTTCACCGTTCACCATCCACTTACGGCTACATCGTTCGAATGCAACCATCTTTTTTCTAAAAATCCCCTGCGATGTGAGCAGCGGTAACTGAAACTAAATCCGCCTCTAATATGCAGATTATCAAGACATTTTCATTGTGAGGAGTGCTTACCGTGATTAACGTGTTGAATAAAACAGAACTCCCCCTTTTTGAATATTTACCCATTCCCCCTGAAATGACAGTTACCAGTGCGTTTTTTTCGTATTTTGGTCGTGTGCGGCATGCCAACGACAAAATTAATTGTTTCATTTTCACACACCCAGCACACACCGACGTTCGTGTGTCAACAGTGAATTGAAAAGGCAAAGCAGAAATAAACTGTGCTCTGAGCTGCAAGATTTTAATAAAAAATAAAGAAAAATAACTGATTTAAGTGATCCTTTACAACGAGACAAGAGAGATGCATTACAAGTGACAGATATTTTCTGCCAAGTTGCACCTCATTAAACAGCGTTTGCATTGGGCCATTTTAGTACAGGAAGCAGGCTAAATCTGCAAAGTTTTTGGACTAGCGAGTAATTGACAGAGGCTGAGAAAGTGATGAAAAAGAGAAGTGATTTGACGCGGTGCATTAACGATCTGTTTGATCTGTTTCCTCTTCGCAGTCGCTTACTCATACATTTTCACATATTACGTATTTCGGACTGCGAAGATACGGGAGAGTATGCAACGTTTGAACAATTTTAAAAATTAACTTAGCAGATGATATCTGGAAGTCGAGTACTTTAGGCTAGCGTCAAACCTATGCTAATTAGGTGACAGAAGCATCCATTCTAACTCGTCGCCACTTCGAACCTGTTGTCTGCACCTTAGCACAGATGTGGCTTTTCATTGCCATACACCATTACACACTCAGGTTGTCGACAAACAGCGAACAAGATCTAAATCCAGACTGCACGGATAGTACAAGTCTATATAATTTCCAATTCAATTTGATGCCGACTGGGAAGTCACACGGCTCTCCTCTCCTTTATTAAATCGTGTGACACATTTTAAGCGTCAACAGGAAGCATGTGGTCTAATGCACATTTCTACGTACCAAAGTAAGGTGTGACACGCGGAACACGCTAGCATTATTTCACCAATGACAGACTGACAACTTTAGTAGGCATCGGAATCAGATTGGTTGGTTCTAGTGAAGTTCACCTCAACATCAACCACACATCATCATCTATTGATGCGATTACTAAAAAGCACCCTCCACCGTTCAACCAGCATCTCCAGTCAATAGAAAACACCACATGAATTAACTGCTGGTACTAAAAACTACATATGTGAGGTGAGTAGTAACATCAGTTGTGCATATCAAAATCCAAGATATGGACACAGCAACCATGCTGCATAATAACGTTATCTGAATTTTAAAAAATGAATATGCAACCAAACAAATTTCCATCTTACTAAGACAATTGCTAGAGGGTTTAATGAACGACAATTCAAAATCATTCACCGAAATCTGTAAAAGAAACTAAAATTGGACGAAATCAGTCGTCAGCTTCTCTTGCAATTTCCCCTTTCGTCAGCATCATACAGTTCCAGCTTGTATCTTCGCATATTCCAAGTGAATTGAGAAGGCCAATGAGGTGGTTTGTGCTCTCCGAATTGTCAGATTCTTTCTGCGCCACCTCGAACCTCACACCCATCACCGGCCCCCACTTCGGACTCCACGCCTTGATCCGGTGAACCAGCAGATCCACTGAAATCACGCTCAGATCACCAATGAAACTGCAAAACGTCAGAGTTCGTCCGTGCCAACAATTAACACTTGGCTGTTCCACAAATGCGCAGATGCAGATATCTGTATTGGCGATGTCTTTGTTCATATTGTACAAGGATATCTGTGACCACAGTTTCAGTGGAGCATTGTCTATGCAAATTCCTTGAGTTGTGAGGTACTCGAGTATGTGTGGAAGAGATTGAATGCGGACGGAGTGTTTGATGACGATGGTCAATTGTGCTGTTGGATGTTTATCCTCAGTGTTTTGAGAGCCAAGACTGACAGAGAGCACCAATTGACCGTATCCACCCACCGAGTCCTGCGCATCGTGGTACTTTATCACCTCTATACCTGGTTTGTGGGCAATTCTGGGAACATCCGCCTCCCCAGGTTCATTCTCGCCCACCTTGAATCGAGACATCATGTCTTCTGGTCCGGCAATTTCGAAGAACTTGATAAACGGTGGTGAGGTGGACACATTATGAAATCCAAGGTGAGCGTAGATGGCTTCTCTACTAGGGTTCTTCTGATAAAAAAGCTTTATATAATTGGCAGACACTCGTCTGGCCTCAGCCTTCACAGTGTCCACGAGAACTCTTCCTTGTCCCTTTCCACGAAATCTTTCGTTGATATAAATTTGGTCTACATAAATGCCACTACCCCCAAAGTTGAAATCCACGTCCTCTGTGAAGACGACGTTCCCAATCACCTCTTCGTCATTGTCACTGTTCACGGTGAGAACTCGAAACTGGACAAAGCAGTCACGATGAAGATCTCGAAGTGCTTCTGGAGTTAGATGAATATCGTGTCCCAGGTTTCGATGTTCAAGGAAGAGTTTACGTGTCTGCTCATAAATCTGGTCACAATCGTCACCACGTGAAGAGCGAATAGAAAACATCATTTGGACTAACTGCTGGTGCTAATAAGTGTGCATATGAAGCATTTGGTTGTAGTTAGTACCTGAGAAATTGGGTTCATGATTGGTTAAGTGTTCGCAAAAATGGCAAGCACGTGATGATGGTGTACTTGTGATTGATCATTCATTATCGTGTGCCAATGACGCACATCAGCTTTACTGCTTTGGTATTTAGGAATAATAAACGTAGAGACCGTTTGATTATACTGTAAAATGAGTGAGCAATTGATTATTTTTGACGAACGTGTGAGTCAATACTCCATTGGCCGTTATGGGTATTGAAACGGATGTAGGCGCAAAAATCATGATTCCCTTGTTTGTCATTGAATGCGCTTTTGTGTGTGTGAAATCACAACATATCCTTTGCCCCAAACATTCCTGGACAAACGCCAGTACCAACCGAACCTTAACGTCGTCGGATCGGGTTGAGTGGTCGCTGTGACCAGGGCCGAAAACCGTGTCAGTTTTCGCCTGAGCTGAAGCGAAGGTGGCTGGAAGTTGTCGGATTGCGTGTTAGAGATGGAAAATAACGGAAGATAATGTTTAGCATTTATGAAATCATGTGTCATTAGGCACAGTTCTTATAATAACACCCTATCACAATGTCCTTGGTTAGGCTTCAAAAGCCTAGATTAACAAAACACAGTGCAGCTCCAAATAGTTAGTTTTTTTTAATTATGCTATTGTGTGGTCCTTCAACCAGTGATATTGGGCTCTTCTAGCGATAAACTGCCTCAAACATTTCACAGCGATTCAAATCACAGTGGAGACAGATTGTGTTCAGGTTAGACTATTGGAAGAACGTGAAGAAACTGTGGATCCTTTCATCTGCATATCCATTTCGACACATTCCGAACGCGGAATCGTACCACTACTATCTGGTCAGGTTGATGGACATGGTTTGACACCACTTAAGCACAAAATTCTTATTGAAACACTCCCAAGTGTGTGTTGAGCTATGATCTAAGGACGTAGGTGGAAACCACACGACGATGGCACCGTCATGTCACGGGGATCTCTGTTCTCGGAATCCGTGGTTGTGAATGCATTGGTGGATTATGACGTAGGCCTTTTAACTCATGCAAACAAACCCATTCACATGTTCCAGAAACTGCGCAGGATCATTTGTCAGGATCTACTCAAGCCCACATTTGTTTTGGTTCACGTGGTATTCTAGGATCACTTGCCAAACCAAACTGCTCTGAGAGGTTACAGCTTGGCGTTTAAATGCTTCATTAGATGGCACGTAGCTAAGGCGTTTCAGATGTTAACCTAAGGATGTATTTATGAGTTCTGGAAAGAACTGACAGATTGTCGCATTACTAACGCAAATTTCAGTGTTCATGTCATGTGCTATGACATGAGTTGAATGGCCACGTGTTGCATTTATCAGCTGTCGCTTTACGTCGTATTAGAAATGGTCCTTAGAATTAGCCTCGTTCATAAAACACTGGCACCATTCTTGGTTGTTCATCAGACGCTACCATCAAGATTAAAATGAGCCTCTTAGTCAAATATAGCAGTTATATTTGTTGTCTCGAGTGTCCGTAATCGACACTGCCGCCCAGTTTCCACAACCACACATGACAGCTTCCAATGTGCCGCCTCCATTTGAAACCCGAGATGTGATTTACTGATTAACCTAGGAGAGAGATGAAGCTTTTGCAGATATAGAGGTGGTCCACATAAATGCCACATCCCCCGAAGTTTAAATCCATGTCCTCGGTGGAAGCAATGTACCCAATCAGCTCTTCCTCGATGTCATCGTTCACATTGAGAACTCGAAACTGGACTAAATTGCCACGACGAAGATCACGGAATGTTTCTGGAGTTAAGTTGGTATCCTCGCCCAGGTTTTGATGTTCAAAGAAGAGTTTCCTCGTCAGTTCATAAAGCTTATCGCAATCGTCATCACTTGAAGAGCGAAAAGGAAACATCACAAGGACTACCTGCTGTTGTTAAAAAGTGCACATACAACGCGTTCAGTGCTGCATGAAACATGGGGAATGTGGTCCACGATTGGTTAGAACTTCATAAAATGGGATGCACGTGACAGTTGTGTACTTGTTGTTTGATCAGCCAATATCGTGTGCCGGCAAGTTCCTTTGTATTCATCGTGCATTTTCTTTGGACTATCTTGGAATCCGAAATCGCCTCCATGTTAAATGCAGTTAAGTGAATGAATCGGGCAAAATAGAGAACACTAGATATCCACTTAGATTCAAACGCGAAAGTTCCCCAAACTGGAAAACGGACCCAACGCAGACACAGATTGCATTTGTTTAAATCCACTGTTAAAGAATTGCTTGGATATAAATTTCTCCAGGCTTTATATTTTGCATTCAGAGGCGCGTTTAAGATGTTTAAAAGTCCTTTCGCCAAAACTAACCAGTTGCCTGACTTAAAGCGCAAATCCATCCCGCACTTATGCAAACCCTCAACACAAATACCTTTGGTTTTCGGTTGAGCTAATCTCATGTCAGTCGAACTGGGGTGTCGAGAGTGTATATCTTGAAAAATTCGAGCAATTTTGAGCACGAATCGCAGCCTCTAAAACGATTGGCCGTTTTGTGCGGCCTAATTTTAGTACGAATCTGCCAAACTCATAGAGCATTGCCATAGTTGATTGCTTCTATTTCTGATCACCACAGTGTTTCTATGACGAGAGAGCGCCTTCGGAATGTTTGATTAGGTTGGCCTAAATATGCCCTGGTCTATTTCTAGTACTATCTCAAAATAAGTAGACAATCGATCACAACATCGCGTTCACAGAAAGAATGGCAGTAATATTGAAGTCGAACACAATGCTTGAGGAGACGTCACTCGAAGACACTGGAGGTGGGTTTTATTGCACCTCCGCTATGGCAATAACCGGGTCAGACGCGTGATGGTTGCTGGAGTGCCTGCGTTGCCACGGCAACATGTGCTGATGTTTGGCCAACCGGAAATAGCTTAGTGAGCACAAAGCAGCCGCTTTTCAGTCACCATCACCTTCCACACCCACTGCGCAGACCAACGCTTCGATTTGTAGGTTGACACCTTATCCAACATTTCATTGGTTTCCACCTTTTGTGTCACATAGTCGTGAGTTTTTTTCTTACCTTGTCAAAGGTTTGTTAAATGCCTGCATCTGGTTCGGTGTATGGTTTATGGGTTGACTGAAGGTGTCGCTCTCGTGTCAAAGGCGAACCATTTGTGCTTTCAGTGAAGCAGCAAAATATTTGGCAAGACAAACACGAGGTGTTCATCCCTGCGTTAGCCGATCTTGGCCAGCTTCGAAGTAGGTCGTTGTGTGGTATTGTGTTTAACTTGAGAGCAGCCTCCACTTGCAGTGTCCACTTGTTAAACTAAAACTGACTTCCCAATGAGAGAATTGCCAATTTCTTGTGCACACAAAATTCCACGTTGACACAATCGTCCGTTTAAGAAGGGGTTTTTCTAAGCCCACTGTTGGTGTTACTTTAGCTCACAGAGTGCATTATTTCCCTGCAGGCGGTCACTGCGTGAAATGTCTTAATGTCAGTTGGGACTTCAATGCTACTTTCAATATCTCAGAGTTAAAAAAACTCCAATTAATGCACTCTGTTGATGCGGCCCCGGCTTCTGTCGCATCTTCTTGACGATGATTTTATTCCTTAAACACAAGGTCGTTCCTAAGCAGTTTGCCCATGGAGAATGAAGCGAACCCCAACTGCCGGCTAGTGAGAATGGAATATTTCCTTCCACCTTTACCAATCTCCATCCACTTCAGGCTACATTGTACGACACGACATATCTAGAGGCGTTTCCGCTGGACAGAATACACGCATCTTTTCTCTCAAAATCCTAGACTATGTCGGCAACGGTAGCTTAAACTAAATCGGTCGCTTACATTCTGAAAACCAAGAAATTTTTTATTGTGAGGAGTGTTTACCGTGATTAATATGTTGAATAAAACGGAATTCTCGCTCTCCGAAAATTTACCCATTTCCTCATGAATTGACAGTTCCCAGTGCGTTTTTTTTTGTATTTTGGTCGTGGGCGGCATGCCAACGACAAAATTAATTGTTTTTTCTCACACACACACCAAACACCGACGCTCGTGTGTCAACAGTAAATTAAAAAGCCGAAGCAGAAATAAACTGTGCCTTTCGCTGTGAAATTTTATTAAAAACTTTAAAACAAATATCTGATTTAAGCGTCTCTCAAACAAGAGACATGAGATGTACTGCAAATTCCCCAATTTTCTCTACCAACTTGCATCTCATTTAGTAGTACTCGCATTGGGGCATTTTAGTACAGTAAGCAGGTAAAATCTGCAACAGTTTTTGAACTGTGAAACAAAATGACACCAGGTTTGAGGCGGTGCTCATTTAACATCGACTTTGCATTAACGGTCTGTTTGATCTAATTTTCCTCTTCGTAGACATTAATTCATGCATTTTCACACACTCCGTATTTTGGACTCCGAAGATACGGAAGAGTGTGTGACTTTTAATCAATTTTAAAAAGGATTGTAGTAGATAATATCTGGAAGTCGAGTATTTGAGTCTGGAGTCAAACCTACGCTAAGACGGAGACATGAACCACTTTTTCTAACTCTTCGCCACTTCGAACCTGTTGTTTACAACGTGCGTGCTACGTGAAATTGATGCCTCCAACAAATCGAAATGCAGATGTGGCTTTTAATCGCGATACGCCATTAAATGCTCAGGTTGGAAACGATCGTCGTCCATTGTGCAATCCCAATCCCCTGGTTTTTCTTAAGATCTAAATCCAGACTGCACGGATAGTGCAAGCCTCCATGTTTTGCAGTTCACTTTGATGCCGACTAGGACGCCACATGGCTCTCCTCTACTTTTTTTGAATCATAGGACACGTTTTGGGTCTCAACAGGAAGCTTGTAGTCCAATTCACATTCCCACTTGCTACATTTATGCGTGAGACGCGGAACATTCTAGCATTATTTCACCAATGGCAGGTTGGCCTCACTCGTAGGCACCGGAATGAGATTGGTTGGTTCTAGTGAATTTCACCTCAACATTGAGCACACAAATTAATCATGTGTTGACGCGATTACTAAAAAGCACCCTCCACCATCGACTTTGCATTAGTGGTCTGTTTCATCCATTTTTCCTTTTTGCAGGCATTTATGCATGCAGTTTCATATATTCCTCATTTAGGCTCCGAAGATAGGGAAACGAGTGTGACGTTTCATCAATTTAAAATAAAAGGGTGCGATAGATAATATCTGGAAGTCGAGAATTTCAATCAGGCGTCACACCTATGCAAATGCGGTGGCAGAAGTCCCTCTCTAACTCGTCGCTGCTTCGAACCTGCTCTCTGCACTTCGATACTCCAATGTGAGTGCTACGTGAAATCGACACCTCCAACAAATCAAAACCCAGATGTGGCTTTTCATTGCGATGCGCCATTAAATACTCAGGTTGGTGACGAACCGTAACCACTGTGAAATCTTAATCTCCTGGTGTTTCACAAGATCTAAATGAAGACTGCACGGATAGTGCAAGCCTCCATGTCTTGCAGTTCACTTTGATGCCGACTGGGAAGTCACATGGCTCTTCTCTTTTTAACGAATCACGGGACACACTTTACGTCTCAACAGGAAGTATGTGGTCCAATGCACATTCCTACTTACCAAACCTAGGTCTGACTCGCGGAACATGGTAGCATTGTTTAACCGATGGCAAAATGACATCCTTCGTGGGCACCGGAATCATTTTTGTTGGTTTTAATGAATCTCACCTTAACATTCAGCACACTTCCCAGTCATCTGTTGACGTGATGACTAAGAAGCACTCTCCACTATTCAACCAACATCTCCAGTGGATAACAAACATCACAATAACCAACTGCTGGTGCTAAAAACTACACTCGTGAAGTATTCGCTGTTTAACTGATACCGAGTGACATTATTCATTCTTAGTACCAGTCGAGAACTCGTGGCCAGGCCACGAAGACGAGCCATTAAGCAACCCCTCTAGGGATACTATTGACCCTCTGGAACACCTGCCACGTAACTCGCGATTGATTGGTCGAGAACAGCGGTCAGTTCAATTTCGTCTGTTAAAATTACCCGACAAGATCATCTGACCGTTTACCTACATATTCTTTTGAAGCCTCACTTCATGTCTAAAATATTATTCGACGATGTTCTCAGACACAGTGAAGTGTCATCTGAGCTGACATTCCCCCCTTCACCAATAAATGTGTTGTAGTGAATCGTGTTGATTCACGTCCAATAATCCTGTCCTCTCAGATTCCAGCGCACGTCCTCCCTTTTCACGTGAGACCGCTGGTTCATTAATTTCTCTGAATGTACCACCACCACCACCCGCTTTGGCCATGTGACCTCACAAACGCCTGTGTTCATTACACATGTCCACGCAACTGTAAAAGGACACGGACACAACTTTGTTGAACTACCTAGTAAACGGTCGTGTCTACCATCTCTGGACTTATTGTCTTCCCGGGTTACTCTCGTGGTAAAAGGTCTGCAACAGTGTGTTGAGTCCTTTTAGACGTCCGGTAGTCGTGGATGTGCGCAAACAACCACTTGCCATTGCTGACGAGATTTGAATGTGGTTACAATAAGATGTTTGTTTTAGTACTCGTCAGCAACCAATTCTAGTGGATGATCCGCCGATTGATCTCCATGTTGCTAAACACAATGTTGTTCACAAGTTTGATTAAATAAGCGTTCATTGCTGTTGTCTTATTTCAAAGTAGTAATGTGGTACGCAAATCAAGCGGTCGTGTTCCTGGAGCCTCCTTTCCAATTCGTTGCTACCTCCAAAGCGGTTTGTGCGCTTTCATACATCAAAGTGCCTGCTACTTGAAATCGTCACCTTCAAAAAGTCGTGCACTGATTAGTCTGACACAGGGTTCCACTTTTGCAGCATGTCCCCCAGCCGCGGGGATCCTCAACTCCCCCCTCATTCGCACTAATATTTATCTTGGATTATCCTCACACCGAGATCTCGATGTCAGTGCATCTATGACTCATGCATCTGATGCATACATGTACACGCGCAAACGCCACACACAACACAACGACATCAACGTGGTTGAGCTCTGAAGTAAACGCAGGTATCAGGGAAGCGTAATCGGGCCAGGGTTAAATCAGTGGCCCAGGCGTGGTTCAGGACCACATGGTGGTGCCCACAACAACACCTATAACAGGACGTGCACCGACTGGTCTGACTGGGTCGGCATCAAGGAGGCAATTCAAGGTCAGATGCCTCAGGTAAGCAAATGTACATTACACGTAATCTTCTCTGAACATAGTGGAGAGAAATTGTCTGAAATTGTGCAGCGGGTATCAATACAATACGCATGTGTGCAGGCCTTCGTCGTGTTCAAAAATCATAGGTTCTATTGTGATTTCGCTTGGCTGCCTATATTATAATGTCCATATGCTAAGCCCATTCGTCTAGTTTGAAGTTTTCACTGCTGGATCCTAAAAAACATCAAACCGAACATGAAAATTGGTTTTCTGTGGAAAATCGGACCCAAATGAAATAGTCTGGAGATTTGCATTTGCTTGAATGCTTGCAGCAGCCGACACGCGGCACTGATCTGAAATAAATTTAAAATGCGTGTACACAAATTTACATTTTGAGGGGTAAAAACGCTTGAGGATAAAAAAACAACTTCAAAACAATAAGGGATTTTCCGTAGTGTTTTCTTGGCGTCAGGCTTTGAAAACCCACAGATATGTGCGGGTAACGGGTGTGTGAACTCCACATGATACTTCGTCTGTTAACAGATCCTAAGCATATGCTATACTCTGTGGAACAAAATCTCTGTGCATTAATTATTACCTAATGAAGAATTTCTCGATCTTCAAACCGTGCACTTCAAACGACCCTACCTTCACTTACGCCTTAGGAGCCTTCACCCGGTTTTAGATGTTTCCAACACACCACGTCGCCATTATCTGTATTCTCGTATTTCAAAATTGCCGTCAATTTTGTATCACGGCAAAATAAGGTTGCATCTTTTAATCGGTATGTTGGGCGTTCACACGCAAGATAAATCGCACTTGTCGGAGTCCGTGCTATCTCAATCAGCAGCAGCGATCTCTCCTAACAACTCCACTTTCCACTGAGTAGTCCACAAGTCCGAATACCTCAGTTTTATGCTATATCTGAGGAAAATCAAATGTTTTTACATCCTTCTATGTTTGTGTCCACCATTTACCGAGCGATAGACTGCATTTCCATATTTTGCTGTTCACTTTGATGCCGTTTCCCTGTATTCTTTCTTAAACCGTACTTACTATCCCCAAAATATTATTACTTAGATTACGTGAAAACAATGCAGATCACTGAAATCCAGTCACTGTTTTCATTCGCTTGAATAAGCTTTGAACCAGTCAATCAACGTGTCCAGTTATGCAGAGGTAATTGCCAATCAGATCTGAGTCTCAGCATGTCTAGGTGCCAAGCACTTTGCGAACTTTCACCAGTTAAAGCTGCAGCAAGATGCCAAGACGTTGTACCATGTTGAAATGAAGAGGCGTCCGAAGCGCCAATTACAAACTTTTGTAATCGAACTACACGTGTAATATTACTAACAGTTTATTGATAATTTTCTGTACTGGGTCAAGTGCGAAACGTGACGTGGTGTGAGGTTACCTTAACCTCGTATGTGTTCCCATGATCGGTTTACGATGGGAGGCATTCAACAACAATTTTGGTGAAAATGTGCCAGCACTAGCTCCAAATATCCCCGCAATAAATTCGATCTCATTCCTGACTGCATACTTGCAGATCGTAACTTAAATTTAGCGATGCTTGGAAGATCGGAAGGTAAAATATCTCGATTCCTGCTGGAAGAGCAATTGGCCACGAAATTCTGGAGCCAGTTTTGAAGGTGAATTTAGAACAATATGTAAAATAGTCAAAGTAGTTAGTGAGGTTTTACCACCGGTTGAAATATACCTGAAAACAAATCGCTTCTACCACTCCGTGCTCACATTTGCGAGTCGAAAATTGTGAAGAACATTCCTTCACCACCCAGTGCGTATCAGTCCTTGCAGTTGTCTTCGTTGAAGCCACACGTGGAAAACTGGATAGACCACTTCTCCCATGAGCAGTCAGGCGAGGACATGCACGTAACCACCACCCCTCTTGATTCAGAAGGACTTTAGTGATGTGTGGTTAGTTGCCGACGTTGTGATGCTGGATGCCTTAGTGAGGATAGCAGGCTTCACCTGGTAGATGGTATGGTTGTGATGATTCACGCATGATAAAACTAAGTACTCTTTTACGGGTATCGACAAGCAAATGACGCACATCGGTGCTTCAAGTGGCGGTGTTACAGCTTTGGCAGCTACTGTCAATTAAGTAAACGGTCGATTGTAGGTTAGGTGACAAAAGGGATGAGTCACTACCATACTGGCCGATGTCGATATTTAAATGAAGGTATTTGAATACATGATGGTTTCCCTTGTTCGTCACCGAATGTGCCTCTTGTTTGCCCCAAAAATTCCTGGGCACACGCTGGTGCCAATAGAACTCCAACCTCGTTGGACCTCGGTGATTGGTCGCCGTTACCGGGACCGCACAACCACTCTTACTGACATTCCGTGTCAGTTCGCGCCTGAGCTGATTTCACAGGTGACTGGGAGTAGTCGGATTGCGTGTTAGAGAGTGGCAATACCAGACGACAATGCTGAGCACTCATGAAATTAACAGAACACAGCAGCAACCGCATCCATTACATAATCACAATGGAATTTGGAATGCGTGTTGAAATATCAGAGCAGTGGTAGTTATTGTCTTAATGGTACGTCATCAACTTTACTTCTCATATTCGGATACGCCTATTACGAGCGTTGTATGGCAACCAGCAATTAAAATATCTGTGTTTTTCAAACTGCAAGCTCTGATTTAGTTCCCTAGAAAACTTTAATAGGTTTTAGCATTTGAGCTTGTCCACACCTAACGCCCTTCCTTCACCTATACGTTGCGAGCTATTGTCCGGTGTTAAATGTATCCAACAAACTACACCACTACGATCTCTACTCTCTTTTTTTTTGAAGTTTCCGTCACTTTATCGCGCTGGCAGAATGCGCGTGCACCTTTTATTCGGCGGGTTGGAACCGTACACTCAAGATAAATCGCCTTTTCCGGACTCTGTGCTATCTCCGTCATCAGCAGCAGTTCCCTCAAAAAAGTAAGAGTTCCAGCGCATAATCCATGTGCGGAGAATACTTTATTGGGATGCAGTTTTCTAGAGAGGCTACTGAAAATCCGTGAGAAGCGACAGCCGCTCCGTCGTTCTCTCTGGATGTTCGCAGGTTGCTCGTTTCCCTGCCTCATCTTCCTACTCGTTCCTGCTTTCAGCTCAGGTGTACTGCATGCCCAGCTTCTGGAGATCTTGTAGCAAAGCTTTCAGAAACGCTTCTCTGTGTAGACGTTCGAGGTCAGCCGTGAATTAGCTTGGCTGCCTCCTACTTGACTTCATAATTGTTGGATGAATGAAATGGGCGAATGTGCCAAAGTACGTAAGGATGTGGAATAGAGTTCGATGCCCTATCACACATCCAGGTGGCTGATGAACACCGAACATTGCGGCAGCTCAACCTCAAGGTTAAGTGAACGACTGCAGCATTCGCATGTGGGTCGCCAGGTTGTGCTGAACGCGTCGCCACAGTTAGCACCACAAAAACCCATCGTGCATGATCCAGTTGCCCAGGATTCTACATCTGGAATGAAATATGACGCCACTGATTTTTGTCTGCTAAAACACTCTAAAGTTATGTTGATAAATTACAGTAAATGTCACGATAGAGAATGAAGCATACAATGAAATAGCACTGTCTGATTTTGAAGTGGTGGCCCGTAAACGTGATAAAGAGTTGATATTTCTCGATTATAATATCACTGATGTCATACAGATTGGGAAATATTTGTATATTATAATGTAAAATATTGACTAAAGACCTAAAACCCATAGATAACAGGATTTCTAATTGTTTTCATTAGAAGTACATCTTACATTTTTACCCGCAATTTATTTTCCCTTATTCCGACTTAAACTGCATAACCGTCAACGGCCAGACGTAAATTGGGAGGTATAATGGCGAGTTGACGATTTGGCGAGACAAAGTGAATGGGTGGCTTCAGTTGATGACTCTGCACATTTCTTCCTTCACCCTATCATAACAACTTTCCTCTGCTGTACAACGGAAAGGAACGTTCACATATTTGTCTAAATACTTCTATTGGCGAAGATAGATCAACCAAATTGATTGCCACTTCTTGACATGAAGGGGAAAATGTCATCGTGGCAATAATTCAGTCGCATGTTTTAAAGAATGTTTATGCCAATAGGCCGTTGGTCAAGTGTGTCACTGTCCAAGGGAAACTCTACACATAATTGCTAAATCCATCTTTGGATTTCCCGACTTCAAATATCGAGATACTATTTAAGTCTAACAAGACTTTTAGGAAATAAAATTAAAATAAACTTTCTGGACGTTTTAAGTCTGAATCTATGCAAATTGTCACAGCATTATTTCCAGGCACCGTGTTGACAATTGTAAAAATATGTAAATATTTGAAAAATTATTACTTAGACGGTTGAAGCATCTACCCATTTTGATAAATTCAACTAAAATCAAATGCGAACTGCAGTTGAAACGGTGTAGATTGGGTTTTAGTGTGGAATTGTTGTGTGCTCCAACACGTGGTCTTGTACCACGCCGGGGCCAATGAATTAACTCGGGCCCGATTACCTTTCCCTGCTACCCGCGATGAAGAAAAAGACCGGAGGGGACGTGGATTCAACCGTTTACTTCAGAGCTCGATCAAGCTGGTGTCGTTATGTCTTGTGTGGCGTTTCCGCGTGTGTATTTATATCTCAGATGTGTGAGTCTTTGATGTGCTAACATCGAGATCTAGGTGTGAGGATAATCTAGGATAATCGTTCACGCTAATGAGGGGGGAGCTGAGGATCCACGCGGCTGGCGACATGCTGCGAAAAGGGGGACCCTACGTCGGTAGCTGGAGTGAATGGATTAACGAGTGTGAAGCAACGCAATTCATAACGGATTAGACAAATAGGGTGTCGGTTATAAAGTACGCAGTTAAATAAAGTGAATAAAATGCAAAATACTGAAATGTCAAGTACACATTTGACGTTATTTAGTTAATTCTTTTTAAAACGAAATGTGGTTATAGGCACATTCATTTGTTTTCAACTCAACTCCTGCGACTTAATTACCTCGGACTTGGTAAGCCATGTTTTCGGCAGTAGTTTGATTCCAATGGGTTACGAACAGAATTTCTGTGTGTCAAGAAGGTGTATGCAGACAGCCACGGCGTGTTAAATTTCACTACCGCCAAACATTCAGATTCGCATCAACTCCGAATTAGGTAAGAGCAATACAAACTAGTCTTCGACATATGTAAACCCTCAGGGGCATTGTAATTGGCTCATTCAAGGTCACGAGTTGGGACACTAACTTTACATTGTTAAGTAGGGCTTAAGGTAACCGTTTTACTGTCGTCTGAACCATGATAAAAAAAAGCAGGCGGCAAGCTCAAATTGTATTTTGCAACATTGCAATTCACTGATTTTGGTCAGACGAACTCCCGAGCGAGAAGAAGCGCTACACAAATTTGTGAAAGGTGCGAGGCAGTTGAAAAATGCACCGACGGCTTTGCATTCGTCGACTTGCCCACGTTCTCGTCCGACAGTTTTGATATTTGATGCCATCCGCCTGTGGAAAAAGAAAACAGAGCAAATCACGACATTGACTACCTATTTTTGTTGCCAAAGGTCTGAGAAGACCACACTAGAAGAAGATGCTCTTTACATGCTCTAAGCCTACAAACGACTTCGCTTCTCCCTATTTGTATCCAACAACTGCCGAAAGCGTTCTGAACACAGAATACATTACCCCTTTATAACTGCTCTCATTCAAATCGCTTCTTTGGCAATAAAGAGAGACGCTAACCAGGAAATTTGCCATGCCGGTGGCTCCAGCAATGTACACGATGACTTAGAGATGCAAAAATTACCACTTTTACCTTGATATCTAAATCGGCCAGATGCGTCCGGTGTTCTAGGCTGAGACGGCGCTAGTCGCTGGACCTGAATTTTAAAAAACAAAATCCAGTGGGTGAATAATTACAAATGGTGAATTGCACCTGAATCTTGCCGTAGCCTAAAATTACGGCTAAAGGTGATAAAATGCTGTCGTCTTTTGCGAAACGCTCTTCTTGCCCACGTCCCCACTCAACAGTCCATCAATCAAGACCGCCTTGTTTGGTGTTTACTTGCAAAACAAACTCAGCCAGTCAACGATGAACGCAAAGATCTCTGTAATTATGGGTGCAGTGACACGAAAACTGATAATAACCTAAAACTCCTAGAAACTCACCGTTTGATTGTCAAAATGCGGATTCGAGACAGAAAATTGATGGCCTGAAAGAGAAAAGGCATGCGTTGGAAATTTTATTTTAATGTGGTAATGGTGCAATTCGAATTCGATCTCAACCATTTGGCTGCTGTTCTAAAACCTGATTATTGAATTCAGACTCATGTAACTCGGCGCTTTAAGCATTGCCCAAAAATAGTCTGATATTAGAGGAAGTGATCTACTTAGCCGCCTCTGACAAATCAGCTGTGGGCTAGTGGGATTCGAACCACGTTTAAAGTGTCGAATGGACAAATTCCATTGAAAAAACTGATCAATGAAAACCTGTACCACTACTGAGTCGACAATGCGTGCACGAAAAGAGGAGGCAAATCAGCGAGGAAATCACGTGCTGACGACCAAAGTGGAAGTTTTTCTCTTGCCGATTGCACGAAACGAACAAAGCGTCTTTTAATTTTCACATGTAATAACTAACTCAAGAAAAGTGTTTTTAATTAATAGGTAACTCGTCTTTGATAAGTCTGGCTGTCGCAAGGCGAGAGGTTAACTCACACCGTAATACGTCAACGGGACGTGGGAGATTCTTTGGTGTCAACGGGGGAAGAGAGTATTTGAGGAGAAAATGACATTTGCGTGGTTTGTACCTATTTGCAAGAGGTGTTAAACTGTTGCAACGCCTGTCACATTTTCACATACAGGATGTTATTATTAAGGAGCCCCATTGCTATAGACAAGGCATACAATTTAGGCGGTGGAGCCGTAGTTAGCCGTAGGATCGGACCCATGAATTATGCCGTGTGGCATTGGTACACAAGATAATTCTCAAAGGATTTGGCCAGCCATGTTGGCAGAAGATTTTTCATGAAGGCTTTTGCGGTTGAAGGTCAAAATTACTTAGTTTGCCAATGAAGGAGCTTGTGTTGAAATATTCTGCAGCTGTTTGCGCCTCTTTTTTACAATTTTAAACAGGACTGCTTCTTCGTGCATTTCATGTGGGCTTGGCAGGAAGGAGACTGATTAAAGGTGAACGAAAGTGTCCACGTATGGCAAGCCGAGCATATTTCATTCTAAATGCAGAATCTTGCGTAACTAGACCATACGTGAAGGATTTTAGTGGTGCTAACTGTGACGACGCGTTCAGCACAACATGGCGACCCATGTGCGAACGCTGATGGCGGTTACTTAACCTTGAGGTTGAGATGCAGCAATGTTCGATGTTCGTCAGCGATCTGGGTATGTAAAGGTGCATCGCAACGATATTCCACACCCTTGCGTACTTCAGCACGTTCGCCCATTTCATTCATCCGACAGTTATGAAGTCAAGTAGGAAGCAGCCAAGCTAATTCATAGCTGACCTGTGGCGTTGGAACACCTGGAACATCTATACACAGAAGCCTTTTTGAAATCTATGCTACAAGATCCCCAGAAATTTGGCCTGCATGACAGGGACAGGAGTAACCTGTGAACATCCAGAGGGAGCGAAGATGAAGCTTTGGCTTCTCACGGATTTTCAGTAGCCTCTCTAGGAAACCGCATCCTAAAAAAGTATTCCCCCCACATATCTGTGGGTTTTCAAAGCCTGACGCCAAGAACACACTTGTTGTTTTCATACTCAAGCGTTTTTCCCTCTCGGAATTTAAATTTGCATGCACGCAATTTAAGTTTACTTCAGACCATTGTAAGCATTTAAACAACTGCAAATATTTTGAACATTTCAAATGGGGCTGAATGTCTGCAGAAAGCTAGTTTTCATATTTGATTTGGTATTTTGCAGTATCCAGCAGCAAAGATCCATGTTCCATTTATTCACTAGGCATTTGGGTGGGATGACGCAGGTAGTCAGTCGAATTCGTAGGTGACCTTTGATAATGCGCCACCACGAACGCTTATCCACAAACGTATTGGTTGAAGATTTGCCAAAATATCCCTGGAAATGACTGCCCACCACCTCCAGGGAAGATTAATCGAAATGTCCATTTGTTTAAACTGAGGCATTTGAGTCCATGGCAGAAAAATAATTTGCCAGATGATTTTGCGTGACCTTGAATTGCCTATCTCATGCTGACCCCACTCGGACCAATCACTGGACGAGTTGTTGGAAGTATCAGTCCCATGTAGCATACACATTGATGTATCAAAGTGCACAGAGAAGGGGGGATTGGGGGAACTCAAAATTGAGTTTGAATTGAGTTTGTTACAACTCATTCAACATAAGACAACAATGCAAAATATGGCTCATTCGACCTCACCAATGACAACTTAACAATTTAACCGATTATAGATTAGTCGGCAGATCTTCCACTGGTACTGGTTGATCATATAAACGACCTTGGTGGATAGGAGAAAGCGTTTTTCACAACGTTTAATTGAACCAAGCTGGAATCTCGTCAGTGGTGGCAAATGATTGCTTAGGCACAACTGAGACGACGGACGTCTAAAAGGACTCGACACGGAGTTGGTGTTGGAGCCTGGACCAGCAGCTCAAAGAGCACTACACTCCGCGTGGGATCGTGAATGTGACTTGTTAAGATTTGACGCTTTGCTCTAATACTCGACTTGCAGAAATCCTGCTCCGTATTTTAATGTCTTAGCTAAGTCCGCGCAGCTGCTATTTTCCATCGGACAGCCTACCAACATCCACACACGTGGTGGCGACTCGTCTACAAAAAACGGCGGTGGGTGTCACGCGTGTAAAACCGCCTTCAAGGAAGAAAAAGAACAGCTTTCTAGCTTCCTTTTACACATCTGTTTTTATTCATCTCTTCAGAAAGATAAATTCTAGTCGAAATTATTTATATTTCCCTCTCCTTCGCTGAAATAAGCACGTAATAATAATTATTAAAAACACACGTCCCACTTTTCAGTTTTTTTACAAATTTGTTTGAAAACTTCAAATCGGTTATAGGAGCAATCATTTCCGACCAAATCTTGTGAAACACTTGAGCCAGATTTCGAGGCATACAAAGAAATCACCACCTGCATACGTTATAACAAAGTGTCTTTGTTTTCCAAGATACATTGACATAACTTAAAATCAATTGGTATAAACTCGGCAATCGATAAATTTTGTTTAAATGGCGTAGATGGATATGATTGGTTTTTTTAGGTCGATACTGGTTACCGAGGCTGGAATCAGCAATTGCACTCCGAGGATAAATTAAATAAACTTGAAATTTTGGTAAACTCCAAGACCAGAAAAGACTCCCTTTCATTTAACCGCTCGGTTAATATTAAAAGGCGAAGTTTTTCCAAGTGCATTCAATTCTTTAAAATACTAGATTGGTGATAACATCAGAAAAACAGGCCCTATTGTTGTAATAAGCGGACTTCGGTTGGTCTGGATTATTGGTAAGCCTACTCCTGGCATCAATAGCGCAGGCGTACGATATCAGTGAATTCACTCACATTGAACGCTCCCTGTAACTAAGTCGTACAGTGTTGAATTGGAGGTGAAGGCATACAGGACTAATTTAATGCCCGTTTACACCAGAACCCCCATGGAGTCCTGGCCAAAACTCCCTCCAATGTGTCTAATCCCACGTGTATTAAAGAGAGGTTTTGAATTATTTAAGCAACATTCACCGCGTAGACTGAACGTGAATTCAGCCGTAGAAAAAGCCATTTTTGTACATTTAACTTGTTAAATCTTGTTATAAGCACGTGATAGTGTTATAGTTAAAAAATGAACTTGCTTACTCGTGTTCTTTATAGTAATAGTGTAGTAAAGTAACGCCACGGCCCCATAGGTCAACATTTTAAACAGCTATTTTTAAGAAAGTTAAATGCATGACAGCAGTTTGTGATATTATGTGATTGAAGTCGTTCAAACCAAACATGAACATCGTGGCCAATGCCCCAAGACAACTCACTCGTATCGATTTTCTTCCCAATTTCTGCTCCAGGAAACGTTTGTTTTAATCGACAGTTGATTTCCATTAGCGCCTTTGAGGCTCCTTCAACCTCTTTGGCCTAAAAAATGACCATATTGTTGCATGAAACCGCACTGAAATTTTTTATGCAACACTCCATATGCCATTTAATAAATTTCCTAAGGACTGGAGGTTGCATTTCGAGTTTGTGGTTGGAATCAAAATAAGTAGCAAGAACGCCACGCCGATTTGTTAAGAAGGCCAGGCGGAAGATTTAAAAGCTACCAACAACGAAAAATTACAAGTCTCGGGATGTCCGGCTTGAAAATTTTGTCCCAAAGAAACCTTTACCCACTCCACCCCAAACTTCTGACCTGAATTCATCCGGTCAGCTTTCACTGCCAAAAACTAAAAACATCAAACGAATAAGGGGAAATACGGAAAACATTTTTAGCTTTTGAGGATTAATTCGTTCTTAGAAGGAAAACAAATTCGTTCTCCGGAAATTTTAGAGGTTTCCTGCTCAAATTATCGATTACTCGAGCGATTAGTTAAGTACGCTTAGCAATTTTTCACAAATACTGTCGAATGTCTCGCCGATCTCCAAACTATTCTCGACTGATGTGTCCAACTTACTCTGCAGTCACCTTCAACTGATGCCCAGGTAAAACCAGCACGGTTATTCGAGGACGACCATTGGGAGGGCTTTGCGTTAGAGTAATCGCTTTCATCACAACCGAGACAGTCACCGTTGGTGTAGCTATTTGTAAGTGAATAAAATAGAGAGCCTCATAAATGCAGGGTTAACTGGCGCGGACTCTCAGCCGTCACAAGACTGCCAAAAGAAGTAGTCTTATGCGGTTTGTTAATCACATTAATTTGACAAAAATGGACAATGAGTAAATTCCGCTGCATTCAACCAGTAAGTGCTTGTTCGTGGCTTCTGATTTTACAATCTTAGGATCTGTCAAGCCAAAAGGGGCTATCGGTAACAGGTCTGAAACAGGAAGAATGTTCTGTAATTGTCAGGAAACTGCTGTGCTGGCAACCAACCAATCCTTAACCACAGTGTTCAAATCGACTGCCCATTTACTATTGGTTCATTCAGCTTTAAATGTATTAACAAGCTTAATCAGGGTCAGGGTCACACAAGATACATGTAAGCGGCTAAAGTACCCATTTACAAGGTCAGTTATTGACAATTACTATCGTTAAAATTTGCACTTATTTCGCAAAAAGAAGGTCTGAAACGGGTGATTTCTTTGTCATTTTTTCGAGGAAATTAGTGGCTTGCGTTAAGCAAGAGATTCACCTATGGATTCTGGCAAACGCAACATTTGCTAAGGGAAAATTGTGGAATGAGAAGGGCATTGTAGAGAAGCAAGGTCTACTTACGAACCGATGTCTGTTCCATTCCAACAATTCTGAGACGAAGCGGTCGTCAATGACGAGAGGTAGATGGATTCGCGACAGATCTTGGATGGCGCACTGGTCCACAAATGTTTCAGCATTTGTAACTGAAATGAGAGACGGTCACAGGGGTAAAATGGGATAAGGCCAGTAAGGGTATTTGCAAGGATGCAGAAGCCAACTACTCCCGCAAGCAAAGAACCATCGGCGTGGTTTGGAAGCAATCAGAGAATTAGATTTCAAGGTATTGTAGAGCTGTGTTCCAAGAATACTTGTGTGTTTTGGTTGCCGGAAGACCGGTTTGATTTAGATGTCACGTCGTGGACACCAATTTATGAAGTACCAAATGTCCAAGCCCAGATCATTAGCTGTAGAAGCTCCGGAATGGCCTCCCAACTCACAACAGGACCGTCAGCTGATGGCGTCTGAGTTCTGTGCGTAGATCTTCAAGAATATTACGAAGACCAGAGGTGACGTTGGTACAAAAGTGACTTTTTTAGCTCAACTCAGTTGAGTTGCCGCTTAGGTCACAGACGGATATGCAAGTCAGTGCCCAGACGTGTCTGCAAAAATAGTGGCGACACTGGATTGTCGGAAGAAATTCCAAAGATTTCCGAATTGCCACATTAAATTAACCAATAAGGTAAATTTATGCGACACAATGTTCATTATCGTCATTCAACCACAACTACGATGTAGCGACTCCATAGGACCATCTCTCAAATGATCGTTTGGTAAGATAATTTGATTGTAAGCTCGGTTTGTGATAGCTAATTTTAGCAAATTGCGTTGCCTTCATAAAATCATGATTTCAAGTGGTCAGGACTTCAAAAATTACCAAGAACAGAAAAGGCATGAGTTGTAGAAGTGTTGGCTTGTTTTTGTCGCAAAAACAGGCAAATTTTATTAATTTTAAATAAATGTCCCCAAATAAACAGCCGAACAGCAACACAAGGATATCAAGAGGTCAGAATATCAAAGTCAACTGGGCGAACCTTGTGGGAAATTCGCAGAGTTTGGGTCTGGCCTGTCGTGCGGAAAGTGCGGCTGATAAAGGCGATTGTGTCGACAGCGAAGCCCTGATCACCGTGGAGTCTTTCCAACTTGCAGTTCGGTGGTAGCTGGAATAAAGACGAGTCAAAATCTGTCACAGTAAAAATCTACCTAGCCTTGCTAACTGCTAAAAGCCCTGTCCACTTAATTTACAGAGGGACTGTAGCGGATTAACAGCGATCGCGCCTGAGTGAGCCCTGTTTACTGATCTGACGGAGACAATGACTCATAACCTTTTCATTGGTTACTGTAACCAGATGCCTGTCATCCACACACCAAGACACTTGGCTGGCATGACGTAAATAAACGGTTGTGTCCTCTGTCGCCTCTCTTTACTCCATTCTCGGGTTGTTACGGACTGTTAACTACTAGAGGGTTGTAGGGTAGTGCTAAAACTCTAGCTGCTACAGGACCATCATCAATGTTTAAACAGGATCATGGTGAGTGTCATGAACTTGAAGAAAAATCCGTCTCATGTACTAGACTGCCGGTAGACGGGGGTTGGAAGTGGTCCAGGTTCGAGTCCCATCACTGCATCTTTTTCAAATTTGCTCGACTATGTTACATATCTCTTGAAATACTGCAACAAAAGTGACATTAGAAGTTGCGAGAATGCAATTTTCAGTTGTATTTTAGTTTACTGTGCATCACACATGCAGGTTTTTTGATTGGTCTTTGCAACTGTGCCAATGAGAACATGTAACCCCAATACAGCTGAGCACTACGCACATTTCAGGAAATCGGCCACTTTATTGACGCATTGTTGTCTCAAATGTGTTATCGAGAATCAGATCCGGTTCACATTCAAATGCATGGTTCTTTCGTCTACTAATTTCGATAGAAATGTCAATTTCTGCATCCAGTCGCCGGTATGCAGGCCCCAAATTTCACTTTACAGATCATTTTTTTCAGAACCCAAGATCTTGCATATTTGTACTTAGAAAAAATCCCTCTTCTACCCACCTGACCCCCGCAAAATCTTGTGAGAATAGGTTGCGTTTCGTGCATGTGTGTGGATGCGTTTGTCAAATAGACAGAGGTGCTGATCGTAGTAGCTTGCAGTGGGATGTTTTAGTGGGACACACAGCTCAGTTATGAAGGTAGAAACTTAACACGATATACTTATTATTCTTGGCACACATTACACCCGGTTTAAGTGTTTTGAAAGTTATGGACGCTTTTGAGTAAAAGTCCAGTTAAAATGATTAACTTCAGTACGATTTTGCCAATTTCCAAAGCCTGTGCACTTGGCACATTTGATAGGTTATCGTGCAGCATCTTTGACAACATTCATCAACAAGTCAAGACGTTTTTTGCTTATTATACTACAGAGATATCGGATTTGGAGATACAACTTGCCATTTTTTGAACGGAGAACATGACTGTTCTGTAGAACTCGATAATGGCCTTTGGCGCGTAGGCTGCGATGTTTTTTATCATGAGATTGGAAGGATCAGACGACGTTTGAAGTTGGTCGTAAAGAGTATCTACGGGGGAAAAGTAAAATTACACGGTCACACAGTGTTGCATATCGTGTTTATGCACACTCCTCAATCCGGTCGCTCCACCCTCCGATACAGGGTCCACCTTTTCGCAGGATGTCACCAGCCACGCGGATCCTCAACTCCCCCTTCATTCACACGATCATTTATCGTGGATTATCCTTACACCTAGGTCTCGATGTCAGCGCATCAACGAGGTATAAATGTACACGCACCAACGCCACCCACTCATGGTTGAGTTCTGAAGTAGACGGTTGTGTCCACGTCCCCTCCGGTCCTCTTTTCCATTGCGGGTAGCAGGGAAATGTAAGCGGGCCAGGGCTAACTCATTGGCCCCCGCGTGGTTCAAAGCTACATGCTGGGGCTTGCAACAATTGGTGATTCCTCAACAATAGTATCACGGTTCACCTAATACTGGCATTTTTTCGCGGTGCTTCAAATTCTGGCAGCATAAAAGTCCTTAAAACGAGCATTTTTATGTGTTCAATGTGGCTATCACAGGCATGAATGATGCATTTGTGAGGCCTAAACTAAATTTGGATTTTCTGGTTGATTATTAAATATTCATCAATTTAGGCTTAAACTGTCCCACTTGACATGCTGAGTGAAATTTTGAAAGTACCGCTGAGAATATGATAACACCGGGCAGATGTACACATTGAGGCCACCAGAATGTCGATTTTAGGCGTAAAGTCGTTGAAGATTAGTCAAATATATTTTAACATGTTGTCTAGAACGCGGATTGGTGAAGGGCGGCCATGCACGCTCAGCGTTTTTGTACAATGGAGCTTCGGTTACACTCTAATAAAAACAAATAGAATTGGCGAATCGCATTTAAACCATGTTGTTCTAAACCAATGCAAACGAAACGTTGTCGAAACGTGGTTGGCAAGCGATGCTGAATCGGTTATTTTGCTAGCCCTGGTTTTGCTACCAATTTTGAAGTTTGCAAAGCACCCGGAATGGCGCTACTTTCACCAATGGCGATGATATGAAGTAGCTCTTGGTTCAGGTTTTGTGTCATAAGAACCATGAGTCCTGTGGGTTGGGACGGCAATAGGGCTACTGATGATTAATTAAATCATGTAAGACTACTTAGTTGACCTAATTAATAGCCGATAACTGCCTCCTCTACTATCGATTTCTAACCCACAGACTCCTTAGCGCCTAAGTGACAAAGACATTATTTCAGTGAAACATAAACCATAGGTCATTTTCCATTAATTTACCCGAAAACTTGAAAATGTGGAAACCTCCATGTGTTGGCATCTTATGGGGTTTCCATGACCGCGAAAATAAGGAGTCTGAACCGGTCCAAATGTGCTGGTTTTCAATGAAGCGGACAATTCACCGCCGATTACAGTTTGGTGTGATGTTTAATTGGTCAAACGAGGACAGATCAAAGCATAGAAACATCTCGTGGTGAACCTTGTGAGGTCAATTGTCTTAATAGGGCCATTGAGTTGAATGCGACTCACCAAACACATTGGTCCAGGCTGTTTGGAGAACGCTGATTGGTCGCAGACAACGGGTCAACGAGGCCTCACAGAACGCGGGACAGGGGTGTGCGAGGGGGTAGCCGGCACAGAGCGAACAGTAGTGCATCCGCATGAGGACGCGGTCACAACCACGGCTCCCCAGGTCAAACTGAAAAACCAAACACTCTACTTGAGTGGTTACCTATTTGGTAGGACACAATCAATGTGCGGCTAGCTTCCCTGTATCTCATGCAGGGTACAAAGTATCAACTGCGCTTGCAGCCATGGAATTCCAATATTCTCCTTCTTCGGACAGATTTTCCGGGTGAATGGGGCAAATTAATACAAAGACTCCATTTTGGCTACTTTTTGCATCCCCTAGCATAAATTTTACCGCTATCCTAATGGGCTTGCTTTTGCTGTATGTAAATAGAGGTTGGGAAGGACGAATTGCAATTAACAAATTAAACTGAGGCGGACACACACAGAGATGAAAGCGTCGAGAAGCTGGTGGAGGTATTCAAGAGCCTTGGTGCTTTGCATCAAGTGAATGACGGTCCGTAGGAAGTAGAAGGTGCGACCGGACATTTTGGTGCGCTTCATGAACTCCCAGACCTCGGAATGGCCTCGTCGATCTGGGGTCCTGCTTGTCGACAGACCGCAGCCATGGTGACCCAAAAGGCCTCGCAGAATGCGCAGCGTTTGAGAGATTTGCACTGAGACTGCTCTGTCAATGACCCAGGAGCAACTGCAATTTGAAAGAAAGCACAAGAGGGAACAATAATTTAATGTCAAGGAAAGGGCAGGACTGCAAGCTAACGAGCACCAGGATTGCATTGAAGGATGAAATTTGCCGACCAAAATAATAGCTGCCTCAATATTCTTACGCCTTGTTAGCTTCCGAAGCATCCACAAACTTTGAAAGTATTGTTGAAGTGGATTGTATTTGTTCAGTTCCACAAAGGATCAAAGGCTAGCATTTGACGCTGTCGCGGAGAAGTGTTGAAATCTTGCCCATTTCTTGGTTGATGGAGTCTCCCTTAACACCAATGACTGATCATCCCCTAAATCAACGAATCCAGCAATGGTTGTCGACATCAGAGGAAGAGGTTAACTGATGCCGTTTGAACGCAGATAGAGCTCTTGCCCACGCTCTCATTATGCCGTCTTTTTCTGCAATTACTATGTACCCCGGCGAGCAGGACGGACATCTCATGACTGAACTGAGCAATTATCGTCACCGTGATGTTCTTGCACCAACCTGCGACCCCAATGTTGGACCCAAAATAACACGCGTTCCCGATGTCTGTGGATAATCATCGTGTTGCACTAGCCTTCGCATGGTTTCGTCAGTGGATGAAGAGAGACTAAATTGCCTGAGCAAATCCGATTTAAACACGGCTCAATATTTGTTTAATTTGAAGAAAAATTGATAATTTTTAAGTGTCAAGACCATCCACTTGGTTTGAGAAGAACCACTTACGTTGTACTGTTGTTTCCATGACTGGATGCTTGGCAAGAAATTAATTCACACGAAGGCCAAAATTGCATTACCTTTGGTAGAGCCCGCTTTTGTGTCACAAAACCGTTATCACTAACTTGTCCTAATGCAAATCACTGGCGGCCAGGTTGTGTGCTTAGGGCAATAAAATTCCCCTTTATAAAGCCGAACTTGCCGATTTGGACGGTTCAAGATGGCTTTTGAATGACCCACGAGAAACCGCTCAATCAAAACCTGACACGCACCTATGTTGGATTGTACCTTTCGCGAGATTAACTCATCAGACATTCTTGTGCCTTCCTGTGGGAGTATTTGTGTGCAAAGCAAGTCGTGCCCACCCTCTTCCTGTCAGCGGATGTGGGCACCCAGAAGAAACCAACTTCCTCCTTTATTAAGCCGCCAACCACCATAGGTGGCATTAACGTTGGGCCACAGAGAACTGACAGGAACACGATACTAGTGTAAGTCACAGTTGGACAATCCAACCTGACTAGTGAGTCCTGTAATGCGTCAAGACAAACAGCACGTGTAATCGCAGTTTTTACAAACGCGGACTCAAATGGACTGTTCGAGCAAGCTGTGTCCGAAGCAGTTTTTGTAAGGCACAACATCCGAATCACTAGTCACATACTACTGCTAAGGGATTTCGACAATGATCGTTATAGACAAAGGTTGAAATTTTGATACAAGGAAACTAGATTTTGGCAAGGGTGGACTCGAGAATGTGCAACTGCCACGTTTAAACTCTTGCATCAATAACTCCGAGCTACAGCAGCAAATAACTAAAACAACTACTATTTCATGTTATCACCATGAATGGATGTTCTAATATTTAAAGGGAAGTTATTTTTCACAAATTACTGCTCGTATTTCAAGCATAAATTGTCTATGTTGTCCGCGTTTTTTAAAACATTCATAAAAAACCACGCTACACATTCCAGCCGATAATAAATGGCTCTGCAACGTTTCTGACGAACCTGTTGACTGAGATCGCTGACTATTTACAGTGCCTCAGGCAACGGAGAGTTGATTTATAAAAATAATTTAGAAAAATCGATTTGGATAACTTGTAAATGTACCGTGAGGTTCCGCAGAATTGTCTCAATTGGAAACACTTTTTACTCGCCGCTGCTACAGTCATTGCAATTTCTGGCCTATCGCGACTATTTGCCATTTGCATGATTGCTAGAGCAACATGCACATACTAAAATGACCAGACACAAGCCAACCAATCAGGTCAATGCTCTGTCAACAGTATAAACTAAAACGAGTAAAAATGTGCCAATTCACACAAAGGACACAAATGGTAAAAATTCAATTTAAGCGACTCTTACTTAGAAGCTTCGGAAATCGGAGATATTGTCAAACGAAGAGCTTGTACGAGGCTAAAGAGGAAGGCTGCAGCTCCATCTAGTGTGTCATTGTACACAGTTGTCGATTGTGCAAAGCTTGCTGCAACCTCTGATACCGATTCCCAATGACGGAGGAGACACTCGTGGTAATTGGTGTACTGATGGGATGTTCCCTTGTGCTGACACATATCATCAATTATGATGCCTCCAATTTCGTGAATTTTTTTATTAATCCAATCTGTATTAAATGTACACAAGAATTTTGTGCAAGATCAAAGTAAATTAAAACACAGCAGCATTTGAAACATATTTGAATGGTCAAAAATCCTAGTCTAAAGAAGGAAAAGAGTGAGCAAAACAGTCTTTGAACAATATTATAATATGCAGAATATGAAAATAAACACGGAACAATGGCTAAATTGACAAAAATAAACACACAACCCTGTGGACAATTTTCATTAGGAGTTTAAAAAATGTGAGGTATTTTGCACAGTTTCGAGGCTAGCAAATGAAGCTAATGGACCTGATGGAGTAAATAATTCTTTAGCATTTATTAGAGTTTTCTTGAATCACCAATTAATTTTAATTTAAGCTCATGATTTTTCAGCGGCACAAATTTTGATTTCTGAATAAATTCATTAAAGATTTTAATATGCTCCAGAAGCAAAATTGGAGGCTGAATGATTAGACTTGCCTTAATTATTTAAAAAGAGCAATATAGTCTTAAGTCAATTAAAAAATAAAAATGCTGGATTACAGAATACTAAATACTAACAGTTCTTCCAGAATAATTTGCCTTACGCGACAGATTTCTTGAGAGTATCTGAAGCTCTCCTGTGCAGAATGCTATGTAGGCCCTGTAGCCAATATTGACTTCCAGAGTTGACCGATTTAGCAGTTCCTGCTTTACTGCAGGTGAGCAACAATCCTGATTCCATATGGTTGTTTTATCACATATATTTTCCTTTTTGAGAATGCTTTCTGAAATTAAAAGAGAGATTACTCGGTAGTAAAGACTGCTTTAAATGTAATTCATAAAAAATTAACTTTTATCCAGTAGAGTAAAGAAAGACAAGATGCGAAGTCAGAGAATGGCAGTGAAGCAATAAAAAGGGTAATGAAAAAATGGAAAAAGGTTTCAAAAATACGCCATATAAAAATACCCCGTCTTTTGACAAAAAACTGCGTTAGCAAAAATCTGTAATAAGTGTAAATACCTCAAAAAAGAATGGCAAAGCCCAATGACTAAAGACCTTTAATAAAGGAATGGACTTTAAATTATGATTTACATTCTGCAATACAAATTAATTATGAAGTAAACACTTTCTTTCCAAAAAAATATGCGAAATATCTCAAAATTCAAAGTGGAAAATTGGGTTGTAAATTTTGAAATAATTTATAAATTTTAATGCGTTTAAAGCAAAAAAACTAGAAATATAATTCTACACAACAAAAAAAAAATTCCTAAAAATACATAAAGTGCACCTCGT